AGCCTGAGGAGACTAGCTACATGCACGGATGATACAAGGAGGTAGAGAGAGAAGATGAATGCAGGCGAGCGAAGGGGGTGGCTGGCGCCATCGCTTGTTTGCTTTTTGGCTATGAAGGGTATACCAGCATGTGTTCCGCCTTGAGGTGACCCTAACAAAGGATCTGAGGCTCTGGGAGTTCTAGAGTCCTCGGACATTTCCATTGAGTTTCTGGAGAATAGGGTTGTAGTTTTGATTAATTGCCGGATCTGGACCACTAATTACTGGAATAAATTCCACATACCCCGTATTTTCCCTGCTCCGCACTTGCATCGAGAATTCAAGGACATTTTTGATGCTTGAGGTCACCGCTTGAAGCTTCACCTTAACTTGCCCCATTGATTGGGTTTAAATCGCAACTCCTTACCCTCGCTGGTTCGTTCCATGATTTACTTATCCTCTTCTTGCGAGGCGGCTAATTTCCTCGCCAAGCCAGATTTTTTGCAGCCGCCATAGGCGCAATGGCACTCAGAAAAAGGCCCGCGGAGGAAGATGGGGCCTCGTCACCAGCCTCATCCGGCGGTGGCGGTAAGCGGCACAAGCTGTTGGTGAAGCTCAAAAGCAGAGGCGACACCGCGAACAATTCACCATCGACTCCACAGGGCACAGACACTGGACAGACCTCAATGCGAGGGAGTGCACGCTCGTCAAGGATGGCCTCCCCGCATGACAGCCGGGTTCGTGAGGAGGAAGGCGATGAAGAGGAAGATGATGATGGTGATGAGGCAGACGAGTACATCGACGACGCCACCGCGCAGCCAGGTTCGAGCCGCATGAATGCAGCGACTCGAGGCGAAGATGGGGCGGCTCTACCATATGAAGAGGAATTCATGTCAGACGAAGATGGAGATTGGGATGAGCGGCCGCAGACGCTGAACCTGAAAGCGGCAAGCAAGAAGGCGAAGCGGCCCCTCGGTGCCGCTGCTGTTGCAGGTGGAAATGAAGCGGAGGAGAACGGCGAAGAGGACGGCATGCAGTTGCTTACCAACGGAAGAGACTTTTCTTTCCTGCATCTCAAGCGCGACCACTCAAGCCGTCCCTTGTGGATCAGTCCAGACGATGGGCATATCATTCTTGAAGCCTTCAGCCCAATCGTCGAGCAAGCACAGGACTTTCTGACTGCGATTGCCGAACCTGTCTCCCGTCCGACGTTCGTACACGAATTCAAGCTCACGCCATACAGCTTGTACGCCGCCGTGTCCGTTGGATTGGTGCCAAGCGACATCATCGAGGTGCTCAATCGACTTTCAAAGGTCCCGATTCCACAAAGCGTGCTTGACTTCATTACTGATTGCACAGCGAGCTTTGGCAAGATCAAACTGGTTCTCAAACAAAACAAGTACTTTGTGGAAAGCGGGCATCCCGACATCTTGCAAAAGCTGCTGCGCGACGCGGTGATCGCCGCTGCACGAGTCAGGGACTCGACCGCAGGGAGCAACAGCAAGGGTGGTTTAGGCACGGAAGTTTTAGGTCGCGCGCAGGCGCCGAAAAAGGGAGATCTTGTCATTGCTGGCACAGACAAAGCTGCGCAAAAAGCCCGCATAGGAAAGCCGGGTGCGTCGGGCCCTGCACTGGGATCAGAGGATGCTGCGCAAAGGGAAACGGAGGCCGACCTCTTCAGCGCTATCATTGGGGTTGACGAAGCAGACGATCTGGACGAGGACGACACTGTGCACTCATTTGAGATTGAAGAGCAGCACATCGAAGACGTCAAAAAGCGCTGCAATGAGATCGGCCTCCCGATGCTTGAGGAGTACGACTTCCGTAACGACCAGCTTAACGCGAACCTTGACATCGACCTGAAGCCCATCACGCACATTCGGCCATACCAAGAGAAATCGCTCAGCAAGATGTTCGGCAATGGTCGAGCGAGGAGCGGTATCATCGTGCTTCCATGCGGAGCGGGCAAGACCTTAGTCGGTATCACTGCGGCCTGCACCATCAAGAAAAGCTGCTTGGTGCTGTGCACCAGCTCCGTCAGTGTCGCGCAATGGAAGCAGCAGTTCCTTCAATGGAGCAACATCCAAGACAACCAAATCTCCATGTTCACTGCAGACTCAAAAGAGAAGGTGAACCACGAGATCGATGGCGCTCTCCCGGAGTCACTCTGACATCATACCTTCACTTTCAGTTTTCTGGCGCTTCCGGCATCGTCGTGTCTACGTATTCGATGGTAGCGAACACCGGCAAGCGATCGTACACGTCACAGAAGATGATGAATTTCTTAGAGAGTCGAGAGTGGGGTTTCATCTTGCTCGACGAGGTGCATGTAGTGCCCGCTAGCATGTTTAGGCGCGTCTTGACCAAGATCAAGGCTCACAGCAAACTGGGCTTGACTGGTGAGTAGGCTTACTTTTTCTATTCTGTCCTCTGAGGCTGAAGGAACCTCCTTCGATGCAGCTACACTGGTGCGAGAAGATGACAAGATCGACGAGCTGAACTTCTTGGTCGGCCCTAAACTCTATGAAGCCAACTGGATGGACCTTGCAGCCAAAGGCCATATCGCCACTGTTCAGTGCGCAGAAGTCTGGTGTCCGATGACGCCCGAATTTTACCGGGAGTACCTCCGCGAGAAGTCGCGTAAAAAGATGCTTCTTTATTGCATGAACCCACAGAAGTTTCAGGCGTGTCAATTCTTGATCAACTATCACGAGAACCGTGGCGACAAGATCATCGTCTTCTCCGACAACGTCTTCGCCCTGAAAGCATATGCGGAAAAGCTGATGAAGCCATATATCCATGGAGGGACGCCGCAGGTAGAGCGCATGCGCGTACTGCAGCACTTCCAGCACAATCCTGCCGTCAGCACCATCTTTTTATCGAAGGTTGGGGACACGTCGATCGATCTGCCAGAAGCTACCTGCTTGATACAAATCTCGTCTCATTTCGGTTCGCGAAGACAGGAGGCCCAGCGCCTCGGTCGTATCCTCCGAGCCAAGCGAAGGAATGATGAGGGGTTCAACGCATTCTTCTACAGCCTCGTGTCGAAAGACACTGCAGAGATGTTTTACTCGACCAAGAGGCAACAGTTCCTGATCGATCAAGGCTACTCTTTCCGAGTCATCACACATCTTGTTGGCCAGGACGAGCTGCCGGACCTGGCTTACAAGACGCAGCAAGAACAGACGGAACTCTTGCTCAGTGTGTTGATCGCCAACGAATCGGCAGCTGATATCGGCTCGGACATGACTGGCAGCGAATGGCGTGGTGGCGGTGGGGTCGGGGGTTCGTCTCAGCGCCAGATTGGCGGTGTGCTCAAGGATGGCAAGGTGCCACAGGCGCGACGCACGATGGGCAGCATGAATGCGCTCAGCGGCGCACAAAACATGTCGTACATCGAGCGCAATCGGCCGGCGAACAAGGGTCTCTTGAAGGACAAGTCGAGACACAAGATGTTCCAGAAACGGTCGGGCCAGTTCAAAGACAAGAACTGAATGCATTTTGTATCATAGATTCACGACACGGATGAGGACTGTATATCATTCATCATTGTACACGCGCCGCGCCGCCTGCAAGAAGGCGCTTATGCCATCTTCCTCAAGCCCGTGAGGTGCTGGGGTCGTCGCAATCTGAGGCTGCTCCTCTCGCATCTTGTCGAGAAAGAGCATGACATCTTTGACACCAGAAGCTCTCTCGGGGCCAAGTTTGCTCCTAGCAAGCTCTGCCATGCCGTCCGGTCGAAGGACCAAGCTCTCGGCCGATTCTAGGAAGGAGGAAGCAAGCATCGGCTCAGTTGATGGCATGCGCATGCTTCCCACCCCTTTGAAACGCTTCTCCATCTCTGGCGCGCCGGCCAAGGCCACGCGCGAGACACAAGCAGGCGCTGGCGACAGTGGCGATGACAGCCCCGCAGACGGCCAGAAGGACGAGTTGAATAGGTGCTCGGCGACCGTTGCGCGTATGAGCTCTGAGCGTGAAAGCCCTTTCACATTCGAGCCTGTTCCGCCTGTGATCATGCCTATCCTGCGTCGCTTGTTGGATAGAAGAGCCTCATCCTGAGACTCGCGATGCTCTTCGTCTTGGTCAGACCGTGGAAGTATCTCGCGGTGTTGCCCTCCAGTCGCACTAAAGCTGTCATGACGGCGAGCGTCGCGGTCAACGACAAGCGTTGCCCACTGCCTAGATTCGCGATCGGCCTGTGCCTGCGTCAAGAGCTTATTGTCGGGCAGATGAGAGGGCACGCGGGTCCTAAAAGACGTGGGAGGCAAGATGTACCAGGCGCCCGTTCGTTTCTGCTGCGTATCACGATCTACCTTTGGATCGCCTCCGCGCATCACATCGAGAACGGCACGCAGCTCCGCTGTGGGGGAGAATTCTAGCTGGCGTGTCTGTCCGCGCTTGGGGCTAAAAGGTTGCTGAGCAGCGGCCTCACCCAACCGACCTCGACGTGTGCGATGCGGAGCCACCGCACGAGCTAGCTGTGGCAATCGTTCTAGCTCGCTCAAGATGTCCGCTTCGATCTGGATTTTCCATCCTTGTCCTATTCTGTCCTTCCATATCCGTGCGTCCACGTTAGCATCTAATTCTTGGTCGTGGCCCGAACTAACGGATAAAGAGGGAGGTTCAAGCAGCGTAGTGATGGTGCTGTCTATGCTCGGCGGGCACGTTGCCCAAAAGATGTATAGAGCAAGGAAGGCGGCTGAAGCATGAAGGATGTCGGATTGAGAGAGCAGGTCCTGTGTTCGAATTTCAGACGATAGGATCGTGTGCACGCGCTCTTGTGCACAGTGAGGTGAGAGAGCAGGAGAAGATGGAAGAGGTACATTCTGTCAGCCCCTTTCGGCGCCAAGGAACAGGCGCAGGAGTTACTCACCGAGGAAGGACCGCGTGATGACGTCGAAGAAGCGCTTGCGTGTGAGAGGATCTTCTCCAGCTGCAACGTGCGCAAAGTTCCAGCCATTCTGAATCCAGACACCTTCAAAGCACTCTGTAAATCCCATGCGCTCGGCATGCTCTTCTCCCTGTACGACGGTGGCCCATTTGCGCTCAAAGTCCCCTAACAGCGCGTCAATGTCCGAGCATAACCGCGCAACAAATGCTTCACTACTTGCCAGCTGTGGGAAGCTGACAGTTGCGCGGGAGGCCATGACTTTGGGACCAGCTGTTGCTGCACCGAGCTTACCGCGTGTTACGGCTGTAGCCCCAGAAAGGGTCGATGCGACACGAGAGGTAGAAGCGGTGCGTACCTGCACATTGGCCTGGGTCATTGCACTGCCCCGGTTCGAACGGAATTTCACGATCGCTCCCAGACTGATATTGTTAGAGGAAGAGTCTGGGTCGAGCTGCAAGTCAGCCGGTGGCGCTGTCATGACGCTGCCGGCTGTGAGCGCCGTACCGGCGCCGTTCTGCCCGAAGGGCATGCCCGAGAAGGAAGCGAGCGACTCGGCATGCTGCTTGCTGACAACTTGCAGCTTCATCTTGCGTGGAAACGGGGCCGGTGTCGATCAAACTGGAGGGCGAGCGAGGGTGACTAACAGACCTAATGGGCAAAATACCTATCACCGTGCGGAAGCGCAGCAACGGTGCAGTGTCGCGGAGCAAATTAAGCTTTGCACCGTGACGGATCTCTCCCGTCCTCTCGATTCCGGTGATCCAAACCGTGACCACACTCGCTATTCCAGCGCTTTTCTTTGTCTGCTTGCTCGAATTTCTTGTCTAGCTTGCAGGCGCAAGAGGAGACTCTCACGCTGGCTTCATTGTGAGCATGCGTCGCGGCCAGACCATGACTGCTAATCGCTTGAAGGTTCCGGGCTGGAGCGTGCTACAGCGCACCACCATCGGCGGCATTCCGTTCGCTGTACACTGTGCAAATTGTTTGTCAGCGCCAGGGTCGCCCAACTTTCCATGAATCTGCTGCTGGAAATGCTGGAAAGGATGGCTGTGACCGCCTGCCTTGCCACGTATGGAACCCAGATGGTTTTGCAGCAAGAAGCAACCCTGGCCGCTTGTATCATCACGTGACATAGTTCGCGGAGATTTGCAAGTGATCCCCGGGTTTGCCGCCGCATGTCCTGGGGTTTTCGACGCAATCTGAGCGATGTGCGCGCAGGATCCCCTATGGTTTTTCCGCGCAACAGTTCAAAACAACCTGCGCCGAACGCACAAACCTAGATCATTTCTTTTTCCCATCGCTGCCACATTGATTTTGTTGGTTCTTTCTCCCTCACTACGGATGCATCCCAACCCTATCCATCCATCCATCCCCCCGTCCATCGCGTCAACGCCATCAAACACGCTTTCAACGCAAGGTCCAACACCGTCACCGTAACCGTCGCACCGTGCCAACGGAAGCACACGAATAGCGCAGCGCCTTCGACATGCCTCGCCGTCAGGCTTCAAAGCCAGTGTCTGCGGACCCTGTGTCAGGCCCGCCATCAACCCCAGCGAACGCGGATTTCACCGCGTCCAAGCCGCTCCTTCATGCACCATTCGCTGCCGTCGAAGACGCGCCGTGGCAACATGGCGGCGCGGCCTCCCAGCAGTCAGAACAGCAGGTAAGTTGAAACTTTGGAACTCGAGCGGGCGAGGCGGGCCAGCAAGGTGCTCAAAGGAATGCGCAAACCAGACGTGTCATTACTGCAGCTGACAACATGACGTCGCTCCCCCGGTAACACTACAGCACGCTGATCGCGACGCAGTCCACAGCGCAGAGCAACAGCGCGAAGACGCGGCGGAAAATTCGTCACACCTCATCCAGATGTTCTTGAGCAACATGGCCCATCTCCCCGCAACCGATGCGGGTGCTGCGACCGCGTCTCAACAGCAACAACACACGGAGCTTGATTCATTGCCGCCGCCGCCACCTCCAGCCCATGCGGAAGCGGAGGGCGAAGATAACGCACAAGAATTAGCAGAGGCGCTGGACGCTTCAGCCAAGGTACCAAAGCCCAAGAAAGCTAAGCGCAAGACCAAGGCTGACCAGCAACAAGAGCAACAGCAGCAACCGCCAGCGCAGGCCTACCAACAGTCGCGGCTACAGCAAAACAACGACAATGAGGTTCAAGTGCCTCCTCCGCCCGCACCATACGAGCCCCCAGCTATTCCCGAGCCGAATTTTGCCCTCATTCCCAACGCAGCGAATCACGCTGCCACTGCTACAGCCATCGCTGCGGGTCCACACCCAATGGACGTGGAGGTCGACATCGGCGTCGAGTCGCATCAGGAGCCGGTCGGCGAAAACGAATCTGTTGAAATAGCGACAGACACACGACCGGGTGCAGCAACACTTGGAATTGCCGCGGAAGCGAAGCCGTCGCCTTCCAAGAAGCGTGTGCTACGGAAAAAAGCGACCATGAGACCCGAGACGGGTCCCGGATCATCCGGGCGCGGTACCGGAAGAGGCTTGACCTTGAGCGGCAAGCCGGAATCGATGTACAACACGGGTGGAAATCTTGGTGGACGAATCAAATGGACCGATGAGGAGACGAATACGCTTATGCACGCGCTGCTCGAGGTGTGCAACTACAAGCGCATGCTGCGGGCGGAGGCGCGCGCCAAAGAGCAAGTGCAGACACAGCCACCCAAGATCGAGAGGGACATGGACACGCAGGGACCCACTGATGGGTCAGAAACGCAAACGCAGGAACAGGATGGCAAGGTTAGCAGCACAGACGCTGATCCGATCGTCGATGGAAGCACATACACGGCACCTGCACCAGATCCACCGGCAGATCCGACATCCACATCCGATGCAGCATCGGCAATATTATCCCAGCATGTTCCTACTCCGTCGACGCAAGCGATCAACAGTGTGCAGCCATACCATGCTGTGCTCAAGCTACACGGTAAAGCAGGCGTCAGGAGCACCATTCTGCACGAGAGAAATAACGTGCAGCTCAAGGACAAGAGCAGGAACGAGCTGCTCAAGCTGAGGCGTGCCAAGGAACCCATTCCCTTCTGGAAGTCGATGCTGCATGACACGCTTTGGGTACGTCGCGAATTGGACTTGGCTCCCTTGTTTTCAATAGGCTTTTGTCCTCACATTCTATCTGCTCGATTCCCGATATCACAAGGACGACGCGGAAGAACCTATCCTCCCGGTTATCGATCCTCCGCCTCTGTCGGACGAAGCTAAGGAGGAACTCGACAGGCTCCTGCAGCCCACACCTCCGGCGCCATCTGCACCACGAGCCCGCGCCCGCGCCGCTAGGACGCATGGTGCACGCATGGGCAAGGGAAGAGGCCGCAAGAGAAAGGCGGCTGCCGGGCCTGATGCCGACCAAGCTGTTACAGCAACGATGGAGATTGCAAGCGAGAACCCGAACGCAATGACGACAGCGACAGCGGTTCCAGCTCCACCTGCACCGTACGATGGCGGTCCCGCCTCGGCGGCTGTCGTGCATGAACCTTCGAATACGAGCACGAGCACAGATGCCGCCCCAATCCTCGACCCAGCTCTAGTGGCTGACGGCGTAGAAGCAGCGCCGTACGGCGGCGTCCAGCCTAGCGCCGCTGCGTCGGACGACGGCAAGGGACGTGGCCGCGGAAGAGGACGGCCGCGCGGTGCGCGCGGTGCAGCGCGTGGCAGCGGAAGAGGCCGAGGTGGCAAGCAAACTGCCATTGTTGCTGATACCAGCGCGTTTGCCGATGTTCAGCCCTCCAACACTGATAGTGGCGCGATGCCGCCGCATCAAACGCGAGTGGAGGTCGATCACGCCGCGCAAGACGCTATGGCCGTACTGCCCACGCGTGGCCGAGGCGTTCGAGGTGGCACTGGCCGAGGCGCTCGCGGTGGTCGAGGAAGAGGAAGAGGACGCGGAGGGGCAACGAATGCTATTGTGAGTACTTGGCAGGATGGAACGCGCATCGCGCCCACGAAGCTGACGCGTCGTCATGTCTCCATGTCCAAAATCGCAGCAGCCATCGCAAGCAGATGAGGAAGCTGCGGCGAAGGCCCTCACCGAGCTCGATGTTGGCGCCCAGTCAGCACTAGCCGGTACAACGCAGCCCAATGCATATAGCGGAGCGGCGCAAGTGCAGCAGGGATCAGCCCAGCAAGAGCACGAGCTGTCGCAGATTCAACAGGCCGCACAAGCCGCGGCTCAGTCTCATGTGCAAGAACAAGTACAATCACAGGCAGCTGTAGCTGCAGATGGCAGCAGCGGCGTCAGCAAGAAGCGCACAGCGCCTACAGAAGGCAAGGGCGATGACGCGCCGCCGAAGCGTTCACGCAAGGAGCTCGCGGCGGAAGGGCTTATCGTCCTCGAGACGCAAGTAGAGGCAGAGGCAGGTGCTGCGGCTGGTGGGCATGACAGCGAGGATGAGGCACAAGAGACGATCGCTGCCAGTCTGTAGTGCGACTTTGTAAAGTAACGGAATTCGTTTGGGTATTAGTCATAGGGTATCCACATTCTTGCTTTGTGTGCACGCCGCGCTGACCGGCAGCGGGGGATGCGATAGTATGTCTTACAACAGGTGGGCGGGGAATTATACATGAAACCCTACATGGCGAGATATGACGAGTAGATTGCAGGTAGTTTGAGATGCTCAGTTAGGATTCATCGGGAGGAAATTCTAGCGAATGAGAAAGAGAGGATCAATGCTTCGTTCCCTAGCCAAGAGCACACCAGTTTGGCCTGTCCAACGCACACCAACTATCATCGTGGGGATCTGACAGCGTCGAAGAAATGTCCGGCAAAGGTGCCACTGGTTAGCAGAGTGAACTTAAAGAACGCCCGTGATACCACGAGCTCACATTCCACTGATCTCGCCGAATGGTAAAGCTAAAGCAGCACTTGATCTCGACGAAGCCTGCGCTATCGCGCTTCGGCTCGTTCATGGCCTTCTTCGCACCAGACGAAGAGCTAGCTTGCAACAGCCCATCCGACATAACGGGCTTGTTGTATCCCGGGTCCCCTGCATCCGGCGTTGCCGTCGCAGATGCTTGAGCCTGGCCTGCTCCCAAAGTGGAGTTCGTGAGCGATATCGGCGGAGCAGCAGGTGTGTTATCGCCGTTTGTGCTGCCTTGTGTTGATCGCGGTAGTTGCGCTGCGACGGCCAAGGCGGCAGGGATGCTCTTCTGCTGTCGTGGAGGATTGCGAGTTTTCAGCACGCACGTCGTCAGGACTGCCTTCTGGCCTGGATCGAATGAGACGGCGCCGTACTTCTCCCAGTAGTTGACAGCGCTCTCTGCAAAGCCAAGGGGTATAAGAATTGCCCAGGCAACTGCGCTGAAAGTAGTTCCGCCTCACCTTCCGCCATCAGTTCGTAGATGCACAAGCGCCCTTCTCGCAGCGCATCAATTTGCACACCAACAAGCTCAGCAAACTCTTTGTTGCCCTTATATATCTCTCCTGTCCTCCTCCACAGACACGCCGGGATGCCTTGCGTGGAGAAAACACGGTCATAATCGAGCAGCAGGCGCTCAAAAGCTTCTTCTATATAGATAAGGTCAATGTTTGTCAGAGACTGTGCGACGGCGCGGAAAGCTGGCCTAAACACCGAGAGCGGTTTGAGGATCCGCCGACGGGACGCTGGGCTGACGTTACGCTCCATCCACCTGTTCAGGCGAGCGTAGCCATTGACATGGTTGTAAGGTCGCAAAAGACCGGCCTCATATTTGGCTTGGATGACTTTGCCTAATCTCTCGTCTCGAGTACCATCCTTCTGATCAGCTGCAGTCAAGAAGAACCGCTCTGTCTTGCTCGTCCAGTTGAGCGAGGGACCAGCGGCCGGTGCGGAAGCCGACGTTGAGTTGCCCTGGCCCGCCGATGTTGCAGCCGCGGTTGTTGGAGCATTGGTAACTATCCCTGCAGTGGACGTACCCGGAAACGGACCTTCGGGTACGTTGCTTTGCTGGCGTCTTTGACCGTTTGCGTCCATCGTCGTCCCTTGACCATCTTTGAGCGGACCACTCTTCTCACAGCCCTGCACTGTGCTGTAGCCGTTCAGCACGTCTGCAGATACATCTGCGCCAGACATCGCGCCATCTGCAGCCGACGTGCTTCCATCAAAATTGACCAGTTCCTCACCCTCTCCTTTAACGCCGTTCGCGCCTGCGTCACCGCCGGGCAGCGATGCATAGGGAGACGAGGGCGCATTGGTTGCATTTGCAAACGACCCAGCCCCTGGCGCTCCTGGGCTCAAGAATGATGCTCCACCATCGAGGCTTTCCAAAAACTCGCTGAGTATGTTGAACTCATTCCCCCCCGCACTGTCGCCTTGTGTCACCATCCCATCCGCACCCAGGCTGGTGGGCCCCCCTCCCAATCCCAGCCAACTAGCACCACCGAGACCGGATCGGAAAGAAGAGCTCCATGAGTTCGCAGTTCCCACGAGCGCGCCATTTGATGCAGATAAAGCAGCTGCTGCGCTGAAATTTAGAGGTCCAAAGGAAAGAGTGGCGAAACCAGGCGGCCCGGTGCCTATACTTGCGAGCGGCAATGGAGCCATCCCTGATCCCTCAGAGCTGACACCTGCCATCATCCCGGTCCCCAAGCCGTGGCTCGTTCCAGCTTGTTGTGAGAATTCAAGCAGATTCTGAGGTCCCGTCGTGTCTGCTGAAAAGGCACTTGGCATCGCACTCGCCGGTAATCCAGTGAGTCCAGCATTTGGCGAGTTGGCGAGCCGAGACGTCGACTCGGATGAATCCCGCTTTCCTGCGGCACTTTCCTGAATTTTGAAGGCTGCTTGGCCTGAGGATCTTGTGCCCTCAGAGTGCCAACTCGTTCCGTCTTGCGATGCCGAAGCAGGAGCGGGCGGTCGATCATGGCAGAGATGGCCAATGTCTCGCTTAATACTGACGTCCAAGAAGGAGTCGCGCTCGTGAGCTCCTCCATGCACCAAATGCTCCTCCCGGTCCATGGCTTCGCCCTGCTTACTTACCACCTCTTGCAAGGACGACTGTCATCGCACGTCATATGGCTGCGCCTGCAGTATACACAGGCGAGGGACACTTTGCGTCGTTTTTGCTCTTTCTTTCCGCCGCTTCCATTTACATCGGCAGCAACAGCAGTAGCAGCGCGCTTGCCGCTCGACGTCGCGGCTGCCGCCTTGTTGCTGCCCGCCATCTTTGCCTCTGATCTCCACTTTCCCTTGCGCACGCATCCGAAGAAAGATTCGCGCACAGCGGATGCAGCCCAAAAGGACTACCGAAAGCAGAGACGTAGCGCACCGACGATGCAGCCTTTTGAAGCTCCTAAGTCAGCACCAGCAAAGCGACAACCATTTGACTTGCGACCAGTATTTAGTTCATGGATGTCTCGGCCGAGAGAGCAGTGGTGTATAATACGTCGCCTGCCTGAGACTTAGATGAGATGACGATCCTGTACTGATCGATGATTGACTTCCTGACGCCCTCTTATTATGAGGAGACGTTCATGACTACACCATCGACTGCGACCCGGCTTTCAGCTTTCGGCTGGGCTACGCGCGCAAAACATAGTCTGACACTATCAGGGAAGGGCTCCCTGCGAGAAGACGCGGCTGTACGCGCTTCCTGGGCCGACTGTGACGCGCCGACACTCAGCACGATGCTTGTTCGGGTCGTGAGACGGTGACCTATACCTCGCATTTTAGTACACTCTCAATCCCTTTGAGGTGTAAGGCGCGTCACGAAGCTTCCTTCGATATGGACGAAGATTTTCCAGCTCCTAGGGGGGACAGGAATGCTCAAGATGGACCGATTGCTGAGGCCAGTACACAGCTGCAAGTTGGTGATGGTAATGACGTGCCATCCATCACAAGCTCGAGCGTCAACGCAGCGGCTATGCCAAGCATCGTGCGCAGAGCAACCCTGGAAAGTCACTATAGAGACGGAGATCCTTTCATAGATTCATCCTCTCCTTCTCGAAACTTCTCCTACAATCCCAGATCCAGCTCGATAACCGGACAGCCTCCCCCCGGACCAAGCTCAGGAGCCGATTATGATATGACCCCTCCATCGTCTCCTCAATCTCCGCTTAGAACTGCTCTCTCGCGTAATCACCCCGCAGCCGCGGATCCCTTCTCTGGGAATGCCAAAGCGCCTAGCATGGCTCACCACCCTTCATTTGGAAAACAATTCCCGCACATCAAGCATCCGCATCCAAGTCGCGTCCTCACCCCAGGCTCCTATCACAAGGCGACCGGAAGCAGGCGTGCCATTCCCAACAGAGGTAGCTCGAGCCCTGGTCAGAAGATTGCAGGGAAAAAGCGCACTCTCGACGCCAGCCCTCAGCAGGTTTCGCGTTCCGGGGCGGACGGCTCTGAAACGCTACGAAGCACCGTGATTGCCGCCAACTCCATGGCTGGAGAAATCTTCAAGTCTTTCTTCCAAGACTCAGATGGTGCAAATACATCCTCCGATGACAGTTACGACTTTGGTAGCCTCCATCGACGAGCGGCGGGCCAAGCTCCCGATAGCCGAACAATAATCGATATGGACGCGGATGAGCCTGAGTGTACGGCGTCGGGATTGAGGGGTTTGGGTCTTGGAAGTGCATTCGAAGAACAGTCCGAGCCGTCTGCCAGGATCCAAGGAACATCTGCAGCATCGGACCAAGATTATGATCAAATGAGCACCGCTGCAAGGCAGCCGAATCAATGGCAAGAGCGACAGAAGGCATTTACTCGGGAACGTTCACATCCATACGACGCCTTTGGATGTGCACCACCAACCTCGCATGCGTCCACTTCAGTGACTTGCTCTCCACCTCAAGGTTCCGTCGCAGGGGGTACTCTGATCGGCTCACCAGGTAGTCGCGAACCTGCCGTCCGACGTGCTCGACTTGCAGGCAGCTCGCCCACGCAACTCACCGTCGCGCGGCGGGGGCGCTTCGTGTGGCATGACTCTCCGGTAACTCCCACCAGTAGCGACGAAGAAGGTATGGCTGATGGGGAGGATGAGCTCAAATCCTTTGGTAGGGGCGATTTGCGACTGCGGGCGTTGGTGCCAGGAAAACAAGCCCCGGACGCTAAGAGTAAATTAGCAAACTTGGCTCGTCCGCTGCGCGCTTGGGAGCGGCTCGAGTCGCAGGATCTATCCTGTCCGAAAGCTAGTCAGCTGATCTCAGCAGCTGTGGCAAAAGCATTCGATTCTTCCAAGCCGATCATCGACCTATCTAATCACGGCTTGCAACAACTCACGCCAGCCATAGCAGAACTTGGCGACTACGTAGGCATCTTGCCGTTGAGTAGGGACAGCGAGGGATGGAGCGCAGGCCGAATGGCGGGTGCAGCAAGCAGGCATCTCAGTAGGACTATTACTACAGATTCAGTCAATATTGTCGGTGAGACAGCAGGGGAGAACACGCCGAATACTCTTCAAGCCGCCGCAGGCAATACGCTCGCTTCACCGCCACGTTCCGTCTCTCACCCAGTCACACAGTCACTACTCCGGTCTTCAAGCACGAACTCACTCTCGGCCCATGACCCTTCGGCATCCAAACTCTTCTTGGCCAGCAACGCATTGCGCGTTCTGCCCAGCGCATTGTTTGCTGTGCAAAACCTGAGCGTACTCAGTCTGAGGAAGAACGCGCTAACGGAGCTACCCGCTGCTATCGGCGTCCTGCGAAACTTGAGAGAGCTTAACATCGGCGATAATCAAATTGTGAGTGCATGAGTGCATGATGCTTGACATGAGATCGAGCTTGACACCTTAGGATCTTCCTTGTCTCCCTCAGTCATACCTTCCAGCTGAGATTCAGAAGCTTGCTCTTCAGAATTTCAGCTACCACCCTAATCCCTTCTTCCGGCCACCTGTTGGCGCCAAGCTTACCCTGCGGCACGTCCGCGGATTCGGTCCATGGTCGAAAAGCTCAAAGAGGGAGGCCGCTTTCGCTGACACTACCATGTCACCACAGCAAGCAGAGCCAGCACGGAAGGCCCAGCTGCCGATGGGCCCGCCTCCGCTCCCTGCGCGAATTCTGGCCGCAAGGGATGTAAAAGAATTTGGAAGAACACGATCGGAAGTGCAAGTTTCCCACGCGCTCAGCTCAAATATCCCGGACCTCGCGTCGTACGCTGGCTCGTCGATGCTGGCGCTTTCGGCGGCGTCTGCGCGGTCCACTGCAGAAGCCAGCGAAGCAGTAACTGCACCGGAGGGAGTTGCAGGGCAGAAGCGCACGAGAACAGGCAGAGCGAGCTTTCTGGGTCACCTCACAGTTTTTGGATTAGGCGTACCGACGTTACGCGATATCTGCACACGCATGATGCTCGAGCTGGTCGACGATGAGGACCATGGCGCTCAAGACCTGGCTGCGGATGCGGCTGGTGAATGTGCAAGAGGCAGAAATGGCGCAGCACCCAAGCGGCGACGAAAGCATCTTCGATTGGAGGAGCTGCCGAACGGCAAGTTGCGCGATATGGGCAAACGTGGACAGCTCAACGAACTGTCCTTGAGGCAACTCGAGTCTGCGCGCCGCAGTGCGACAAAGTCCTGGAATTCGCGACCAGAGCTAGCTTCAACACGTATCGCATCGCCCTTTGCACCTATCTTTGCACAGGGCTCGAAAGGCTCCGCGCACTTCCCGAAGCGCGTCTTCCGCTCTTGGTGCAGCGGGGCTGACGTGTTCAACGACGCGCAGAACGGCTCTCTGTCGTCTTCGGATGTGGTGGCGGAGCTTAATGACAACGGCGACGATGCTGCGCAGAATCCGTGGTTCAACCGCTGTCCAAACCCTGAACATTCTGCTGATAACGTGCGACCCTCTGCCCCAATGCCCGTCAACACGTCGCTTGAAATTAGCGACTGGCCGATCTTCGAAGCGGTAGCGGAGGTTGGAGATGTCGCGCCTGTCTTTCTGCAAGCGGGCGAGTCACTCATCGAATGGGTCTCGCATATCGCCGGTATCAAAGTTGCCAACGCAAGTGTCAAGTGCCAGCTCAACGAGGACGAACATGCTGTTGCTCTCGACAGCCCAGAGGTCGACGGGAGCGGCTGTCTACCCGTCGTGTGGCGGGGATGCAAGCGCAACTGCCTGCATTTCCTGCATCAGTGACCAGCAGTGTTGACGACAATGCAAGTTGCTAAACATGAAAAAGCCATTGCAAATTAATAAGCAATACTCTGCGTACACAACCATCACTTTGTATTAAAAACAATGAGATGCACTTTTGGAATGCATGAATGCATGGAAGCACGCCAAGATAAAGAGATAAAAAATGACCATGTGCGAATGAGTGATTGTCCGTCTACGATACATGAAATAAAGACCTATCCAGAGACTGCGGTTGCTCCTGAGGGCTTTCGACCGGCCTGCAAACCACTTTACAACAGCAGCGCTGCGGTGAGCGCCGCGACGGAAAGTGCGCCTGCGGTCCGTGCGAGCCTGCTCTCTGCGCTGGAGCTGCTACTGCTGCTCCCAGACGAGCCGGACCCCTTGCTGGAGCCGCCTTCGGACTTGGATGCATTGGCGGCGGGCTTGTACTGGATGCCATTCATCTGCGCAGCGGCCTTGAACGGGGCCTGCGAAGGTGTGTCGTAGAAGTCGAGGAGGATGAAGGTGGGGTAGTTGCCACTTGCGCCGGGTGATGTGGCAGCACAGTTGTTGGCGTCACTGAGGATGCTCTGCTCACTGTTCGTCGTGCTGAGGTTGCCCTTGTCTGGGTAGACGATGGTGGAGCTGCCGAAGGCGGAGAGATCCTTAAAGTGGTTGATGAGGTACATCAGGTTGCTCGCCGCCTGGCCGACGCCGATGCGGTCCACGGAGCAGTTGAAGGGTACCGTCAGCTGGTTATACGGGTTCTCCCATATCGAGCTAAACTCCGGCAGCAGATACGGCACCGAGCTGACGTCGGCGCCGCTCGCGAGGAACGAAACGACCGTCTTGCGCGAGTCAATCATCGAGCCGAGCGTGGGCCATGCGTTGCGCGCGATGGCGCTCTCGCCCCCTGACGGCTGCCAGCTGTTCGCATCGAGGCCGGTAGACTGATACGCCTTCGCAAAAGTGCTCGCAGGCAGGCCGTCGCTGTTGACGAGCAGCAGTGTGACAACCTCGTTCGGGTTGGCGTCGACGAACGTCTTGACGGAGCCGAGCCAGGCCTCGAGGCTGCCGCCGTTGAACAGCTGGCAGTCGGTATGGCAAAGATCGATGCCGGAGCCCGAGGTCGCGTTAGGCGACTTGTGCGCTTGTGCCTGCAGCATGCGGACGCCATCGGCGAGCTGCTGCGCGACCGGTTGTTCCTGGTTGGCGGCGATGGAGCTGCTGGAGACGGCGTACGAATCGTGGGTTCCGACGAAAGTTACGTTGGAGAACCGCCTGCTGCAGAGACTTGCATCGCCGTTGCAGATGCTTGCCCGCTTGGCGACTGCGTACGGCACCCCTTGGACCTGCCAAGGGACGAGCATGCCAGCGAGGGTTGTGAGGAGGACGGCAGGCAGCATCTTGACGACGACGCGAAACCTGGGTGTGGACGGGGAATGGAGGGATGGGTGCTTGGAATAGCGAAGCGGATCGTAGAATAAAGGCTCTTCGGTCCTGCCTGCAGGGCTCAGAGTCTGGGGTCAATCTTTAACTTGTTGGTGGCAAACAGGATACATGGCACAGCACTGCGAACAACAAGTATAGATATATATATACGGTTGAATCAACAGGAGCAGTAGCAGCCGCGGCACTGCCCACTGGTTCCTGTTGGTGTGAGTGGTGGTGGCTTCAACCACCATCCTCCCTTGCCTATTTGGGATAGGCGTAGATGCCAAGACGGGTAGTTCACATGGGGATGGGGCCAAGCTCTCTTCGCCTTGCTTGTACAAACAGGACGACCGCAACTCTCGACGGCGACGCACTCATCCGGCCTGCTTTTCAACTTGAACGATTTTGTCTTCGGCCGCTATTCATCATCGTGCATGGCGATCAGGGCGATATGTCATACACTCCGACAGTCCTCTAGGTCGTGCCTCTGGAACGTTTTTACGCATTCAACTTATTTCAGCTCAATGGTGGTAATACAACATCTTTATTAGGGGTGCGACGACAGAAAGCAGCCTGCATCATACAATAGCTCTACCTTCATTTTTGTGTGATGCAAGGAGCCATCGCCTCTTCCCCGAATGGGAAGCAGATGCAATGCAGCGTCGAGCTTGCGACGAAGATTTGCATCAATCTTGGTGGGACACCTTCGTGAGTTGCGGCGGCTGGGGGGGGATAGGGCGGCACGGCTGCCGACTCATGTCCATGTCTATTTACCATGCTTCACCGCTGCCTCTCTCAGCGCGCTTTTAGAATGCAAACGATATAGAACATAGCTTTCCGCGCGGCAAGGACAGGTGGAGCAGCACTTCCATTCTCTTGACTCTGGTGGGTACGATACTTTCCGCATATCTAAGTCGACCCCTCCCACTTGCGCAAGAGCGACCACACTTGCCGCTGCTCCTTGGCCGTCTTGTCGAAATGCACAAACGTGCGCTCGAAACCCCACAGCTGGCTCTCGAGCGTATCGAGCGCGTGATCAGCGCTCGCAAAGGTGTACATGTCCACGTCCTTCCCGAGCGCCTTGAGCGCATGGTAGTACAGCATGCTCTGCTGCGGAGGGACGCGCCGGTCGGACAGGCCGGCGAGCAGCAGGACGCGCGCCTCTACACGCTTGATGTGCTGGATAGGCGAAGCGTCGCGCATCGCTCGGAAGTTCGGCACGCTCAGATAGAGGGGAGGGTGCTCAAAGTCGAACCGAAGCCCAAGTTCCTCATAGGACCTGGAGAGAAATGCGAGTCAGTACTGAATGTATGTGCATGCTGCTCCGGAGGGCGGCTGTGACGAGACCTCTCACCAGTCCGGAATGTCCGTGGTAGCGACCATGCTCGCAATGTCCGTCACCGGGTTGCGCATGGCCGCCGCCAGAAAGCGACCTGGGTATTGCCCGATGAGGTGAGCGCTGATGAACCCGCCGTGCGAGCCGCCCATGACATACACCGGATCAGCCTCTGCAACCCCCGCCAGCCGCAGGGCTTCGAGGCAGTCTGCGATGTCCAGTTCGCCGCAGCGGCCGACGAGCCGCTCGACAAATGCGCGAGAGTTCCCTATCGAGCCGGTGTAGTTCGGCATGACAATCTGGTACCCCAGCAGCGCGAGCGTCGCATGCCCTGCATTGAACGTGTACGGCGTTACGCCGTGTGGGCCTCCATGCGGCATCAGGATCGTTGGTGGCTTCAACCCGGGCCTGGACCTGCGCGCTTTGGCGTGGCCAAGCACGATCGATTTGGCACCCGACGCTTCTGCGGTGACAATCTCCGAAAAGAGGTCTTTCGAGAGATATTTGTGCAGGATGGACGCCTGCGAATGCTTCGCTGCGTCATACACAAGCTCTCCGTCTTGATCGATGGCCTTGGCAAGCTCGGCGTTGAAGAAGGGAAACACCGTGATTGTGGGGACGCGGTTTGGCGTGGAGGCTTGAGCGACGACGAGACCACGGCCGTCGGTAGCGATTATCTCGTAGCCGTGTGCCTCGCTTCTTCGTTCAGCAATGTCATGGCCCACGCCTTCGATACCGATAGCATCAACCGTCGCCAAAGACTCACGAACGCCGTTCAAGAGGAATGTAGCAGAGCTTTCTCTGTCCGAACCTCGGGGAATGACCCATGGATTTGTGATGTCCCGCCATGGGAAAAACTCTTGCGGACTCGGATCTGCTAACTTAGTGACCAGGGCGTCCCTGGTGCGAATCTCGGGGTTTGAGCGCCGCTCCTCGACAGAATCCACCGTGCGGACAATGCAACGAAGGTAAGTCGCGTTGCCGTGAGGGCCACCTTGTGGGGTGCCTAGTAGCATCGTAATCTGACGTCTCATCGACAGTCTGATACTGCGAGGTTTTCGCCACGAGAGCACCTCTCCAAGTGGGCCTGCAAGGGGTGATAAGCGCTTACATGGACTCGACGTGGCCCAGCGAAGCTTGCGGCTTTTGTCCTTCTTTTTGCTGTCGCAAGCCTTGTCCTCCGAGGCGAATCGCAGTGAGAAAGAGTAGCAGTCTGATGGCCGGTTGGTGCAGTAGATGATGCCGAGTCGTTGGCCACCATTGGGCAGGCTCTTGTAGCCTGTGGCAAGGCATTGCGGTGAGGTCTCACCCAGAATGGGCGGAAGAATCTCAGCATGGGCAAAGAGAATCGATTGGAATTCTGGGTCCAAGCAGTCGCTGAGCGAGCCAATGCATTTCCCTCGAATATTGACCCATGGTAGGTCCTCCAGCACTTCTTCTGAGCGGTCCCAAGTGAACACAAAAACGGACGGTCTGACGTTGCTGCTGGACTTTTCGCCGAGGGAGGGCACATATTCGTACTTGCAGCCTTTGTCGTCTTCGTCTTGGTGGGGATTGCGCGCCTCGGCTGAATACAAAGCGATGCGGCTCAGACCATTGATGTCTAGGCTCCCAAACATGTCTAATAAACAGCAATGATTGGATGTGCATCAGTCTCTTACTCTCCTGCTACGCGTTACCAGAATCGCACTGCACCATCATTGATGAAAGCTCCGTGGACATCAGTGACGTTATCTGAACAGAGGAGATTGCCACCCTTCCAGAGTTCGACGGTTCTCTTCTTTCCGTCCTGCTTCCTGTCGTCATTGACTTCACGGAGGAGGATCTTGATGTTGGTCTCCCGGCAGACCTTCTCGCTCACAATAGTGTCCGTTTTTGCGCTTACTGGGGTGGTGTTGTCGAAGGCGGCACGATGCACGGTGATTTTCTTGCTTGCCGCATCGTAAACGATAGGAACAGCTAATCTGCTGATCAAGTCATCTTCGAGGCCGAAATGGCGTGTTTTGAGTTTCAAGTTGAGGCAGCTGCCAATGTTCTGGGACGCATCGGTACCGACATTCTGGTTGGGCGTGAAGGACGAAGAAGACACGCTTGGTATACCAGCAAGGAGCTCGTACACTCGCAGTGCGGCGGAGCGCGGGTCGGGCTTGTCCATTTTACCACGTTCTGCTATGCCAATTGTGGATAGAGCCAGCAGCAACCGGAAGAGCGTCAAAGTTGGTGCTTCTAGATGCCAGGAAGAGGCCAGTCGGTCTTCCAGAAGAGTTACCGGTGCCTGCACACGGTGTAGTTCAAGCGATATTTGTGTTTCTTGCGTTGATCCCTTGTCCCCAGCTCTTGATGATATTCAATGGTGAAGGGCGTGGTCGGTGCGCGTCGACTTGGTTCACAGGGGTGAATGCATCTAGCTCGTGATCACCACTGTTGCGGCCATGGCCCATGATCACCGCATGTTCAGCCTCAGCTCATTCGGCCAAAGAGACCTCCGAACAAGCTTTTCCAGCTACTGAACAACACAAGTCGCAAGCGGTAATGAACACCATCTAGTACACGTCACACAATTACTATATCATGTACTCAGTGACGACAGCCATGCTGCCATGGTGACGCTTGGTGGATGACAACAGATCCAAAACGTGAGCTGATTTGTAGGCTACAATGAAGATGATGAATTACAGACAGCACGTGCGACGAAATGCGAGAAGCGCCGTATGCACCACAAGCAGAGTGACGGACAGATATGGCGCCAAGGCGCCGTTGAGGGTGCCGGTACGAGCATTTCGGTAAGCTTGTGCTGCAATCATGCACTCGGCAATTCCACTGATGAGTGTGCTATATGCGATCCATTTGCGCGGCCGGCTCATTGAACCGCATGCAAGATCAAGCATTGCGTACTTCACGAGAAAGAGACTTCCCGCCAGAAGCACGGGATACTCGCGCCGCAGCATGGGTGTCAGGGCGAACGGCAACAGGAGCTTGAGGGGGCCAGCGGAGGATTCTGGTGGAGACAGGCTCAGGCGGCGCGTAAAAATGGGGTGCGTCGGATCTAGGCTCGAACTTCGCGCAATCTCGGCTTCCCTCTTGCCTGCTGAAGCAGATCGCTTGCGCTGCTCGGGCTTAGATGATGATGCACTTATCGCGGCGAGGCGTTGGAGAACCTCTTCGGATGTCGGCCGCTTGGTCGGATCGATGTTCAGCAGGTCTCGGAGAAGTGGCAACAGCCTGGAATCGGTGTGCGTGAATGGTACTTCCGGGCTGGCGGCAGGAAAGGGTCAGCGGACTGCGAGCTATTAGGGGTTTGGATTTAACGCACCGAGCAGCCCAACCTGTGTACGCAAGCATCTCCTCGCGCAAGACATCAACGTCATCTACTTGCGAGTACGGCAGCTTGAAGTACAGCAGCAAATGCAGTATCATTCCTGAAACCAATGGATAGATTGTAAGCGAGCAACTGAGCTGTAAGCGGCGGGAGCTAGATACTTGCCAAGAGACCACATATCGGCTTTGCGGGACAGCTCCTGCAGCTGACCAGTCCTTGGGTCGACACGAATCGTTTCGGGCGCCATAAACTAGAAAACATAGAGGATCAATCGCTCAGTAGGGGTGGCTGATCACGCTGCGCATGGCATGACTGGCCCTCACCTCCATAGTTCCCGTATGTCCCGAGCGTCTGCGCATCCAGCTATCTTTCAAGAACGCGCTCGAGCCGAAGTCAGAGATGAGAACGCGAGGGCTGGTGGAGAGTGTTTGTTAGGTTGGTTGAAATCAACTGTATTGCACAATGCGGGAAGCTCACATAAGCGCGTCTTCGTCCCAGTGCAGCAGCGCATTGGCTGGCTTGAGATCCAGATGGAGAATACCTCTCGAATGCAAGAAAGAGAGACCGGACGCAATGTCGTGAATCAAGCTGATCGTTTCGTCCTCCCGTAAGAGATGCACAGCGGGGGTATCCTCGGAAAGGTGCCCTTGGCCACGCTTTCTTTTCGCTGCATTGCGTCGGCGAAATGCTGCTTTCAGCTTCTCAGCGCGGGCTCGGTCTGGCACGGGCGCTGGAGAGGATCTTCCCGATGGTTGAGGAGAATCCACTTTGTGTCCAGATCTCAGGTAAATCCAGCTGCAAGTCGTCGTACGATTGAGAATTTGCATTCTGATAACCTCAAGAAGACGAAAGGGGGAAAGCTCACTCTGCCAGGGACCCGCCGTTCGCGGCCATCATCAACACGTGCAACGTAGGCACGACGGGCGAAAAAGGCCCCAGCCGCGCAGATTCGATCCACGCGTGTTGGTAGTGTATCACATTCGGGTGCTGTAGCGCCTCCATCATGTGGACTTCCTTCAGGCTTTCGAGTAGATGGTCAGATTGGCTGCCACATGGTATCTTCTTGACGGCATAAGTGCCGAGCTTGTTCCCGTTGAGGACATGCTGGCACAGATAGACTTGCCCCGAGCCCCCACGGCCGAGCTTGCGCAGCTCAATGAAGAACTTATTGTAGTACCCTTGCGCTCCAGCATTCTCGTCAAAGATGCCGCCACAGTCGACCGGCGTGCCAGGCCGGGTCGTGCCGACGCTGCTACCTTCGTCAATTACGGGCCCCTGCGCCAAGAGGCGAAAGTAATGAGGCGCGGTAGACGATGGCTCAAAGGGAAGCGTTCCATCATTACCAGCGACTCGGGAGCCATTCCATGGCCGCAAGCACGTTGGGCAGAATGTGTACTCCTCAGGATTCTCCGTTTGCTCTGGCGGCGGCAAGGACAGAGGGGAACGGAGAGCGACAGTCCCTGTTCCGATCGGACGAGACTGTAGTGACAGCGAGTGGGAAGCTGGGCTATAAATGGCTGAATGATCCCGTCTAGAGTGCAAGAACAGATTCGATCAGCCTCGCGTCATGACACAAAATGGGCTAAACCCACGTTCGGAGGACGATTTGCAGACCCGATGAAGAGTCCGAGCGCTTCATCGTTGGTCACGCACCATCGCAGCCCGCAGCGTGCCGATTGGATGCGCTAGCTGGTCCCTGCAATGTTGCTACCAGGCAACGTCGATGTCACTGATTGCATGACTAGTTGCATGTTCGCCAGCGAATGATCGTACACATGGAGACCGCCAATCTGGAGTTGCCTGTCGCACATTCGTGGAAATTGAATGGGTGCTTGCTGCTCGATCAACGCAGCCTTGCTTTGAAACCTCGAGGAGGATCGCTGTCGGCCGTGTGATGATGATGCGTACCTACCGTGCAGAGCAGAAAAGGACTCTCCTTTTTTTAACACACAACCGTCCACCGCAGTTGACCTGCCCTGCGGCTGTGCGCGCATCACAGCGAAAATTTTGGGCCATCGAAGAGCATAGCTACATTTCACCTACTGGACTTCTCTTTATTACCTACACTACCTACTCCCCTTAAGTCACCTGCAATGTCTGTGTAAGAAGTGGTCGTCGACGAGTCAGTCTTTCCGATTTGCCTGCCGGCGACGGAAGAAGGAGAAAAAAGAAAAACAGACGGGAACCCCCGCATCGGACACCCTCCGCGAAGAACGACAGCGAGCGCGGCCGCCGGGTGACCTCCAACAGGCACTGCTGGCGGACCCATACAAGTGGATCCAACTCCAATTGCGAAATCATTTCCTCTCGGACGACGCCTGAGCGGACTTACCTTGATTCATAAGGTGAGTCAGAGAGTACGATGGTCGGATGATGCGGTATCCTCGTCGCGAGATCGACGTTGGAGGAGGTGGCCGAGATGAACTGAAGAAGGACGTAGCGGCCACAGTGGCCGAGGTGGGCAACATCTTCTAGGCGGCGGCGTCAATTGCGTGTACTACGCGAAAAATAACGAGCCGGGGGCAGACTAGGAGAGGATGTTTTCCTACCGAGGCAGGTCGTTTCCAGCTGTCGTCGCGTTGGACGCCTGGGGTTGATGGTGTTCTGGAGCCTCCGCGACCCAGCTTCCGCACCCATTGGACCCGCACATGCTGCTCCGTCCATCTACGCGGACAACAAGCGATCATGGATCATTTTGACACACTTGGAGAGGAATGTAAGCTGAACATTGTTGTCTCGAACCCTTTTTTGCACCTTCCTATCTGCACCATGTCGATTGGGACCTACCTGATGGCCCCTCAACCCATCCTTCCCATCATTCGTTGGCACTCTATCTCGGCATCGACGCCGATCGCCCACTCTGCCTACGGCATATTCATGGCAACCATTTCGGTCCTCTGTTTGCGACATGATGGACGCGACACCGCAAATGACCTACCCGCTACCCTCAAAACATGCAGCGCTTCATCTCTGGGTGAGTTCAAGTAATGCCATCCCAACGAGTAGGGATATTAAAGTGATGGAAGCTGGGTCTGACATTAACGTCATTTCTTGCTCATTTGGCCCCCTCTGCCGATCATTCTGCGTTGTAAAATCATTTCCACGATGTCGTTGCCTTCGGCCTTCCACATCTACCAAGTTGAACTGTTTTCCCTATACGACAGAAACGGTCACTGGCCACTCGACATATTTGACTCCGGGTCGATGGCAGTTCGCATCCACCACCCTGTAAACGCTTCGGCAACGCCAGAGCAGCAATATGCGCTTACTATCAAGGCTGCACAATTTCAATATGAGCACCTCAATACCCAATCCCATTCCATCTCCGACAGCAAAGGGACGGCCGCCAAGAAGCAGCTGATTCAGCCCAAAGCGCTGCAACACACTGACCCCAAGCTTAAAACTCCTATCTTTTTGGGCTCGACTACCGACCAGCTTCGAGCAACACTCGGTCTCATCGACGTTGATGAATGCGAGGCGGACGGTGAGAGTGCATTCTTTATCGCGGATCTGGCAGAAGTGTATAGGCAGCATCTTCGTTGGACGAAGGAGCTGCCCCGTATTGTCCCCTTCTACGGTAAGTCTTCCTAGTGGGCCTTTCCACCCAACTCGAGATGGCTCAAGCTTCCACCTGCATCTACAGCTGTCAAGTGCAACCCCGATCCAAACGTGCTTCGCCTGCTCGCCGCCCTTGGCACCGGCTTCGACTGCGCGTCCAACGGCGAGATCCAGAATGTCCTCGACATTGGTGTCTCGCCTTCGCGGATCATCTATGCCAATCCCTGCAAGGCTTCATCCTTCGTCAGGCAGGCCGCCAGGCAAGGCATTGCCATGACCACATTCGATAACCTGGACGAGCTCAACAAGATGAAGAAGTTCCACCCTAAGTGCAAGCTCGTCGTGCGCATCCTGACCGACGATTCGAAGAGTGTCTGCCAGCTCGGCCTCAAGTTCGGAGCACCGCTCGACTCGGTCCCTCGCCTGCTGGCAAGGGCCAGAGAGCTCGAGCTGGACGTCGTCGGCGTTAGCTTCCACGTCGGCTCCGGCTGCTACGACCCCGAGAGCTTCCGAGACGCTGTCCGGCGTGCACGGATAGCCTTCCAGATGGGAAAGGTTGCAGGCTACACGTTTGGCCTGCTCGATGTCGGTGGTGGCTACGATCACAGCAACTTTGAGATGATTGCCAAAGTCCTCCGCACCTCCCTTGACGAGTTCTTCCCGCTCGAACAGTTCGGTGCAGGCGGCTCCGAGATGAGGGAGGGACAGGAAGCTTTGCGTATTATCGCAGAGCCTGGACGTTACTACGTCCAATGCGCCTTCGTCCTCGCTGCAAACATCATCGCTCGGCGTGACGGCCGCAGTGATGTCGACGACTTGGACGATGCCATGGAGCAGAGCTCGACGCCGGATACCGACTGCACGTCTTCCACCGCTGTCGACAGCATCGAGCCGCAGCAGCAAGACAAGCCGCAAGTCATGCTATACCAGAACGACGGCATGTACGGCGCGTTCAACTGCATCATGTTCGACCATCAAATCGTCCACCCGAAAGTACTGACGCTTCGACGCCAGTTTGCCTACCGGCCTGACCTGGAGGCACCGGGTGTCGCGCCTGTAGACGAGTCCACCTCCGAAAGCCCCGATAAGTTGCTCGTCGAAAGCGACGACAACCAGCTCATCCCCTGCAGCGTCTGGGGGCCGACGTGCGACTCGATCGACTGCGTTCGGGACCTCGCGTACCTGCCCAAAGGTCTCAACGTCGGCGACTGGCTTGTCTACGAGAACATGGGCGCCTATACCATCTGTGCAGCATCTTCCTTCAACGGCTTGCGTCGGTCCGAAGTACGATACACCGTCGGCGCCGAAGGCGAAGATGCCGATGCCGTCAAAAATCTGCTCTCCCTCGTGGAGGCATCAGAGAGTTCCTAACGCTCGAAGTATTACATTGTATTATAATAGACAAGCATCCTTGACTTCTGCTTTTGTCAGGTGTCGAGCTTTGTGTATACGTGTTGCGCGCCGGTCCCGCATGCCTCGCTCGACTTACGAAGTCTCGACAAACAAAACCATCTATAGATAGATTCGTTTGGCGAGGAGGCTAGTGTGGTCGTAGGTCCCGCAAAACAGTTGCACCGAATGTCTTGCCAACTGGCAACACTATCATTCCCATCTCTCTCACACAGTGGGCCAGTGCTACGTGCCACGTACGGCGTGCGTGACGCGGCGACGCGTCAAAATACCTGGTCTGCGGGACGTGGGCTCAACACGGGCGCGCAGCATGATGGAGAACGCGATTCGCAAGGAGCTCTGGGTGCTTGTTCACTGCGACTGTTGAAGGTCTGAAGGATATCGTCGCAAGGCTAGAAGGCATCCGAAAGCAAAGCCTGTTGCAGATTGAATGTCACTCTCAAGGATATTGTGAGTGAGGAAACCTCGACGGTAGGACCAATACGCAAAATGGCGCCCGTGGCTACAGAGACGTGAGTCGAACGATCGATTCGGTTACCTCGCGTGTTGGAGCTGCAGCACAGTGCATGCTGACGTGTCTACCATCACGACTGGCACTCCTGCAAAAAGAATTACAGCGGAGCCGTCACCGCCTGATGCATCAGGCGTGCATTTGGCCAAGAAACGCAAGATCAATGGCAAAGCGGCGGCGCCTTCTTTTGCGGAAACGCTGCAAAAGCTTAAGGACGACGCGGAGGCGGTAGGAGGTAGGTGCTGAGTCCTGTTGGCTGTCCCCAGTCGGCTTTCTGACGCTTTTCGATTGCTCTGCGATCTGCAGATGACAAGCAAATTTGGGCCAGGCCCCCAGTGGAACATTTCAATCCCGAGAAAGACGCACTCGGTAAGAGGATTTGAACATTGAACGTAGGTAGGTACTCGCTGCTAAATGTCGCACTCTGGCCACAGTCTTTCAACAAATCGACATTGAAGAATTCACACAGGTCAATGCGCCTCCTGCAATCCGTATGTATGGAGTAACTCAGGTGCGTTGCTCTGTTGCGATGCGACGGTCACATTCTCAAATGCTGACCGCGCCGACCCGTGACCAGGAAGGGCACGCAGTCTTGGCCCACGTCAAAGGCTTCTTGCCTTACTTTTACATTCATGCTCCCAAGGGGTTCCGCAGCGATACTTGCGATGCGTTCACAAACCATCTCAATGTGAGTGACAATGGAGGTTACCTTGCCAATGAGGTGGTGGTGTCTGACGCATTGACTTCTCCACTCTAGACTATCCTTGGCTTTCGAGGTGTGCAGAAGATCGAGATGTGCGTCAAGCGCAGTCTTATGAACTACACTGGGCCCGAGAGCGTCGCTTTTATCAAGATCACCATGTCAGATACACGCAGCTTACCAAAGCTCAGAGGATCTTTCGAGCGAGGAGAAATCTCATTCCGAGACTTGTGGGAGTCTGGAAACGAGATTCTCACGTACGAGAATATCGCATACACGCTACGCTTTATGATCGACCATCAAGTGAGTGCGCAGATGCTGCTTTGAAAAGGTGAGATACGCAGCTGAGAGAGTAATCTTGTGCAGATTGTGGGCATGAATTGGATCGAGATCCCGGCCGGAGAATATACAGTTCGCAAAGGGGCTTCGAAGGTGTCGCTTGTGCAGATCGAAGTCGACTGTCAGCATGACAAGCTCATCTCGCACAGCCCAGATGGCGACTGGTCCAAGGTCGCGCCACTGCGCATCCTCAGCTTTGACATTGAGTGCGCTGGCCGCAAAGGTGTCTTTCCAGATGCACAAATTGATCCCGTCATCCAGATCGCTAATATGGTCACGCGACAAGGAGAAGCTGCGCCGTTCGTCAAGAACGTCTTTACGCTCAACTCATGCGCGCACATTGTCGGTAGTGACGTTCGAAGCTTTGACGATGAGGTGGAGATGCTGGAGGCTTGGACGAAATTTGTCCAAGAGGTCGATCCGGACGTCGTCATCGGTTACAACACTTCCAACTTCGACTTTCCCTACCTGTTGGATCGCGCCAAGACTCTCAAAGCCAACAACTTTGCCTATCTCGGACGGGAACGAGGGACACGAACCGAGGCAAAGGACACGCACTTCTCCTCGAAGGCGTATGGCACTCGAGACTCTAAAAATACAGAACTGCAAGGGCGCTTGCAGCTCGACATGCTTCAAGTCATGCAGCGCGACTATAAGCTCCGATCCTACTCACTTAATTCGGTCTCTTTCGAGTTTCTAGGAGAGCAGAAGGAGGATGTGCACCACTCGCTCATCACGGAGCTCCAAAATGGTGGACCGGAATCGCGAAGGCGTCTGGCGATTTATTGCTTGAAGGACGCTTACCTACCGCAACGCTTGATGGACAAGCTGATGTGCTTCATCAACTACATCGAAATGGCAAGGGTCACGGGCGTTCCGTTCAACTATTTACTCTCCCGAGGGCAGCAGATCAAGGTAATCGCGCAGCTTTTTCGCAAGGCAAGATCTGATGACTACCTCGTTCCGTCAACAAAGAGCGAAGGCACGGACGATCAATATGAGGGTGCCACAGTGTTGGAGCCGAAGCAAGGCTACTACGACAAGCCCATCGCCACGTTGGATTTCGCTTCGCTGTACCCCTCGATCATGATGGCGCATAACTTGTGCTATACAACGCTGCTGAACAAGCAGACGATCGATCGACTGCAGCTCAAGGAGGGAGAGGACTATGTGCACACGCCGAACAACAACTTCTTTGCCACAGTCAAACTACGTAAGGGCCTGCTGCCAACTGTCTTGGAAGACTTAATCAGTGCAAGGAAACGCGCCAAGGCCGACCTAAAGAAGGAGACGGACCCGTTCAAGCGTGCTGTGCTGGATGGTCGTCAGCTCGCTCTTAAGATCTCTGCGAATTCGGTCTATGGTTTCACGGGTGCGACAATTGGCAAGCTGCCATGCCTGGAAATATCGATGAGCGTCACTGCTTACGGTCGTCAGATGATCGAACATACCAAGCAGATGGTGGAGAGTCGTTACACGATCGCCAACGGCTACGAGCACGACGCTGAAGTCATTTATGGTGATACAGACTCGGTTATGGTAAAATTCGGCGTGTCGGGCCTGAAGCAAGCGATGGAGCTAGGAGCAGAGGCAGCCGCAATCGTCTCCGAGTCGTTCATCAGGCCCATCAAGCTCGAGTTCGAGAAGGTCTATTTCCCATACCTCCTTATTAGCAAGAAGAGATACGCTGGGCTCTACTGGACGCGGCCAGAAAAGCACGACAAGATGGACACAAAGGGTATCGAGACTGTCCGTCGCGACAACTGCCGCTTGGTACAGACAGTCATCGACACGTGCCTGCGCAAAATGCTCATCGACCGGGACGTGCAAGGGGCGGAGAACTATGCAAAGCAGATCATCTCAGACTTGCTGCAGAACCAGGTAGACATGTCGCAGCTGGTCATCACCAAGGCACTCGCAAAAGCAGACTACGCTGCGAAGCAGGCGCACGTGGAGCTTGCTGAGCGGATGCGCAAGCGTGATGCGGGCTCTGCGCCGGCTTTGGGCGATCGAGTGGCATATGTGATCGTCAAAGGTGGCAAAGGTGAGTGTTCCTGTTGGCTGTCTTTGCTTTTCGCATCGAGCTCTACAGGCTAATATCTCTGCTTGGATCTACAGGAGCAGCAGCGTATGAGCGTTCGGAAGACCCATTGTACGTGCTGGAGCACAACATTCCGATCGACACCCGATACTACCTCGACAACCAGCTCTCGAAGCCTCTGATGCGCATCTTTGAGCCGATCATGGGCAGCCGCAGCAGCAGTCTGCTAGCCGGCGAGCATACGCGCAAGGTGCAAGTCGCCACGTCGAACGTGGGTAGTCTAATGAAGTTTGCCGTGCGCACCGCGCAGTGCCTCGGGTGTCGTACGCCGCTGCACAAGAATATGGGCACCTTTCCCGTTTGCAACAACTGCTTGCCGCGCATCAACGAAATCTACCATGACAAGATGGCGAAAGCTTCGTCACTCGAAGTCGAATTCGCTCGCCTCTGGACATGTTGCCAGCGCTGTCAAGGCTCGCTCGCGCAGGATGTCATTTGTAGCAACAAGGACTGTCCGATCTTTTTCAAGAGGTGAGTCTCTTCCACTCTTCGCATGCAACTCTTCGTTAAGGTCTGTCAATACTGATTTGGGAACCGCCGACGGTCTCGCCCGTTGCAGGAAGCGTGCGCAGAAGGATTGCGAAGAAGCGGTCAAGGTGCTCGAGCGCTTCGATGTTCGGTCGTGGTGATCTGATTAAATGTACTGTCATTTGCGGGATCCCAGGTGCTGCGATAGATGCCTTTGGCCTGCAGAGATTGAGCTTTGGCGGCGCGGACCGTGAGCGACAAACTGTAGCAAGCGAATGAGCGTGCGCGGCGATGAGCAAGATTGACGAGTGCCGTTGCAACAGTCAGCATGCTCGACACTTGAAGCGCGGTGAGGAGCGAGCGCGACACCGTCCTACGGGCGCTAAGCTATGTACAGCCTTCGATGGCGTGGGTATAAAGACCGTAGCAACAGAGAAGGACGAAATAACCACGCTCGCTGCACCATGCGCGGCGCACAGTGTTCAGGCTTGCAAAGGCCAAATCGCGCTGATCCCGGAAGTTCACGAGACTAGCGGAGCAGTTCGGCAAAGTGCCGCTGGCGCGAGGCGAAGGTCCGGAACTGACCGATGGCTCTCCTCTCTAAAGCCGCCGCCCGCCAAAAAAAAATAAAGACAAGGGCAGGACGTCATCCAAGATCATCAATGCGAAGCACGACCGCAGAGGGGCCAGGAGGTAATCAACACTCAGCAGAATCCCATTTGGCGACATGACGTTAATATAAAAGGTACATTTTGCGCGAAGCTTGTTAGGCAGGGTACAGGTGCAACTGTAGGATTGCAATAGAACGGTGCCAAAAGTGAGGCAAGGCAAGAGCAACAGAATCGAGCTTCACAAGCATGTCGTTCGGCACGCACGCAGAGCACGGTAACGCCGAGTACCGGCAAGAGTGAGTTTGGCTGAGCAGGGCGGTGCGAGACGCTGGAGGCTAGTCTTATTGTCGTCTCAGTTGTACTGACGGTACGGTCATGCTGCCTGCTTCTGCATCGATGGCAATCCGTCCGACGACGCCTTGCGCGCGTCAAGACAGTACAATGCAACACTAAGAGGAGCTGCGAAAGGGTCATTATTCGGGTTGGCAGTAGCCACACCGACTGCCTATATGCTGCAACGATCATGGGCGCCGTTCAGGGCGCTGAATCTGCCGGTCAAGTCCTTCTTCGTCATGAGCGCCACCGTCATGACAGGTGTCATCTGCGCTGATAAGGCCGGCATCGCCTTCAATGTAAGTCTTCGTCGCTCTCGTCTGCCACGCGACATGCCAAGTTTCGTTGACATGTGCTGACTGCGATTCTCGGTTTCCTTTTATTGCTCCGATTCTTCCGGAAACTTCAGAAAGAGCACTACAGCGATCAGGGCGCAAAGAACATGAAGCGGTATGCAACGCACGCGGAGCGAGAATGGGATCAACTGAGCACTGCGGACAAGGCACTAACGTGGACCAAGGAAAACAAGGTCGGCATCGTGGCAGGCAGGTATGTTCTGTGCGAGTGACGAGCTCGCAATGATTGGGATAACGTGCGTTGACAGCAGATTGCTCTTCGTGGGCATCACACGAGTAGCTGGGTGGCATCCATGGCAGGCACTTTCGCGTTCATCCAGACGCAGCCTTTATCCTTTGCGCAAAAGCTGGTGCAGGCGCGTGTATGGGCACAAGGCCTGACGCTCGCCTCACTCGTCGGCATGGCTGCCATCACGCAGATCCCAAGTGCGGGCGACCGGATCATCGAAAGCCACCTGCATGCCAAGGAACACTCGTGGAAGGACTACATCCCACAGGAGATGGGGGAAGAGGTGAGTTACACGACAGGTGTCGCTAGGAATACTGCGAAAAAGATGAACCTGATGATATTCGCACGACTCCCTCTCGCATAGCTGGGCACCAACAAGGACGCGTCGAGCAAGTCGTCCAACCGGTCATCGGCGAATGCAAATACAGAGACGGAATAGAGCGAATCTACTACATAGAGCAAGGGGTGGCAATCTTCATCACCCTACACATATCGCATGCATCGCATCTGCCCCACTTTCGATCATTCTCTTCCGTCTCCCGTCTGTTGCAATACCATAATCTACCCTTCGAGCAAATTATGCTGATGGTCTCGGACGCAAACGAGCTTGGTGTGTGAGATACCGGCGATTGGCTGGATCATAACAAGGTACGGCTCCAAGAATCAAACATGAGGATTGTTTGGCTTTCGCTCATGGTCGCGATGAATGCGTCCTGTCTGTCTAAAGCGACAAATTACACCTTGTTGCCGCTCTCCTGCCCTTCGCCTGCCTCCTCTTCCATGCTAAAGTACTGCCATTGGCCGGCAGGCGGTGGGTGCTCAAGCGGCTCATGGCTGGGAGCGCAACGAAGCGGATCACAGAGAGGAATGAAAAGGGCAAGAGTCAGCCAGGAATTCGCATGCGCTGCTAACAGGCGCAGTCGAAAGCGGAAGACAGTGCCTGGACGCACCTCTTCCATTCGATCATCTTCGCGGCGAGTGACACCTCGTGCTGTGCCTGCTGGATGACCTCCTCGATCAACCCAGAATCGAGCTCCTGCTCTATCGCCTGGATGACATCCTCGTTCGCGCTTTCTGATGCGCCTGCTGCATTTGGCGTTGACGAGTGTTTCTGGACGATGGCGAGCCTGTGCTGCGTGATGGCCTCTGCACTCTGGCGGTAGACCGAGTTTTCGGGGAGTGCCTTGAGCAATGACAGCGTCGAGCTGTAGATTCCTGCAAGCGCGGGCAGCGGCGAGGGATGCACGGCGAGCCCCGTGATGCCTGTGGTCGTGCGGAGGCGGTGTGCTCGCGGCAGCGAGTTGGGCGCCCCCAAGCCAGCTAGAGCACGCGAAGCACGCGAGAATTGCAGGACACGGGTGGACAACATCCTGGGGCTCTTCCTGGCTCTTCTTGATGTGAGAGGTTTGATATCGGCTAGGAATACTGCTACTGCCTAGGCGGGCGCGTGCAGGCACGATAACAGTAAGAGGCAGATGCTAGAATCTTGCCGCTGCCGTTGATGGACTGGAAAGTAGAATGAGTGCGAGAGTGGTCAAGGGAAGAGAGGCCAGCAGGGGCGGAACGAACTTCCCTACAGCGAGCGGGAGATGAGACAGCGTCACGCAGCGCTGTCTATAGTGTATACACATTATGGCGGGTGCAGATGAGGGCAATGTGTAGGAGCATGGTGCATGCAACAGCAACGGAATTGTCCAGCCAGGCAACCAGCTTCAAGCAACTCCATTGCCCTCGACACCATCGACACTCTCCCCTACGGCCCAGTGTCCAGTGAACAGGCTAGTGAGGAAGCGTCAGCGCCGCTGAAGAGGCATTGCGCATCGTGCTTCCAGTCTGTCTTGGCACGGGCACAGGTCACCACACCCAGCAAGCGCGAAGTCCAAGCGCTCGGCCGGTGTTTCGTGCGAAGCAAGTGGCAGGCAGTAAAGGGACAGAGCTGCAGTAAGAATCGCGGCGTAGACGTTTCTCCTTCGAGCATTTCAGCTCACCACAGGGAGAAAAAGGAACGTGTCTCCAGCATGTACAGCGCACGTCCCCTGCCAGGGCCACCCGATGGGCATGCACCAGGTGCGTCTTCGAGCTTAACTCGACAACTCATCCGATGATTCCCCTGGAGCCAGCACATTGGTCGCTGACATCCAAATTTCTTCTACTCGCTGATCGGACTTTCTCAGGATATCTGACTGCTTCATACACGGGGCACCACACCTCGCCTGGAACGCGACCGGTACCTCTTTATTCAAGCCCCGGCGCACCGCCATCAGCGACAGTACCATCCAACGCGAACCGACCAGGCATGATGCCACCTTCCGGACCGACGGAGCGAGAGATGATGGAGCGCTACGGCGCTAGCCCAGGGCACGGCCCCTACGCCGGACCCGGTCCTAGCGCATATCATAGCGGGCTTCCTGCGCCAGGGCATGATCCATACCTCGATTACGCCTCTGCAAGAAGGCAGGAGGAGGTGGCACACCGCCATCACGCAAACCGCGATCCTTGGGGCGGCGCACCACCGCCTCCACCCGGCACCGGCCACATGGGCATCTCCATGCCTCCGAACGACCCGAGATATGGCGCACCACCAACCTCGTTGCAGTCGCAGGGCCATCCGCATGCCATGCCTGTTCCCCCGCAACATGTACCGAGCGGAGCGGGGCACCCCAACGCTGACGCTCAATCTGGCAATCCCGCAAAAGGGCAATCAGCGCTGCCGTCGGCGATCAAGTCGGGGTCTCGATCCAAAGCTCGATCTGGTCAAAGCGCGCACAAGGAGCGCAATGGAAAGCATGGCGGTGCCGAGCCCAAAACAAGCACTGCTGTCGAGAGCAGCAGCTCGAGAAAGTCAGGCGGGGCCAGTGGAAGCAAGAGAGGAGAGAGCAGCAGCATTACTTACATGAACAACGGGACGGTTACCAATAGCGTTGCGTCAACTGCTGCCGCAGCGCCGATAGCTGCAGCATCTGCCGCTGTGAACACTGGAGAGAGCAAGAGGGACAAGAAGAGAAGAGAAGTGATCGATAGGATGCATCGTGTGCACTGGGATACCCTCGAGAATCGAGATGTGTGAGTATCTGCTTATAAGACGTTGGACAATGCTTTCTCTTGACGAATCTTCCACTCGCACCTTTCAGGCTATACCAAGAGCTGCAAATGGCCCTTTCAAATTCGTATGCGACGCTTCTCGCAAGCCCATCGCATTTCCGAACGTACAACCTCGCCATGGCACGGCTCACGCTAGAGCGTGACGCAGAATTACGACAGTCTGCGCTGCTGCATGCGTACAAGGTCGAAAGTGCGCGCCAGCAGCACGAGAGCGAGATGAACAAGATCGAAGAGGAGGCCAGGGTGGCGAAGAAGAATGTGCGAGAGCAGTTGATGAAGATGGTGGAAGAGCGGAGGAGAAAGCTCAAGGAAGAGAAAGAAAATGGAGAGATTGCGATGGGTGCGTTCTTTTCGTGCTGTTATTGCGAGGAACGTGCATTGCAGCTGCTGACTTTACACGGGGATCGCAGACTCCTTCATCGAACAAGCACAGCGATCGCACCCGACCCGCTCATTGCGCAACAAAGCGCATGGCGGCTCACGAGCTCGAGGGCGAGGCCTGATGGACGATGCTGACGAAGGTGACAAGGGTAACGTGGCGAACGGGGGACTTGGCACCGCTGCTGCTGCTGCTGCTGTTGTTGTTAATGCCTCTGCTGGCGATGCAGGTGCTGATGGCCGCTCTGGCGTTGGCTACTTGGGCATCGGCACGGCTGCGAATGGCCTCGGCAGCTTGCTGCAGAACCAAGGCCACACTTCTGCGCAAGTGCTTGGGCTCATCACTGCCGGTAGGCTGGGTCTTCAATTTAACGGCCCGTCGGTGGGGGCGGAAGCCAAAGGCAAAGGAAATGGGAAGAGCAAAGCGCAGATTGGGGATACGACTGGCGAGCGGCCAGACGCAAAGGACACAGATGCCATCATGACTAGCGGAGATGCGCCCGGGACGGCAGAAGGACTATCTACGACGACAGCAGCACGAGCAGCCAAGGTCAACGGCTTCAAGCGGACGTTCGATCAGGTCGCCATGCTAGAAGCGATTGCAGCGATGGAAGCTTCCAAAGGCGAAGGCACCAGTTCTGGCGACTTTGTCGGTATGGATGCTGCGCCGGTTAACGGCTTCTACCTGACGCCTGCCGCGTTCCTGGATGCGCTCGGCCTCGGAGGGCCAGGCAGTGGTGTCGGAGCCGCCGCTGCTTCCGCCGGCGGCCTCAACGGGATACTGGAAGGAACTGGCGCGCACGCACCCAGCATCATCGTTGGGCCTGGTGGCCCGAACAGCGCAAAGAGCAAGAAGAAGGCGAAGGCGGCGGCTGCTGCCGCCGCCGCTACCGCTGCGGCGAGCATCGGCGCAGATGGCGCCGCAGAAGGCGCAGCAGGCTCGAGCGCGGTGGCTCTTAACGGGTCGCTCGTCGGCGCTGCGTCGCAAGGCACAGGAGGCTCTTCTGCGGCTGCCGCCGCCGCTGCGGTCGCGGCTGCAGGGCCCGGAGGCAGACTGCGCTGGGACGTAGGAAAGAGCCTGCAGCAGCTCACCGCTGCGAAGGACTTTGAGATAGAGAGCGATCTGATCGGCGTGCGCAAGATTGGCGGGAAACGGAGCAGGAGGCGGTGAGGAGGTTGGGTCATGTATTATGTATCGCGGTCGCAGTCATGCTGGTGTTGGTACTTGCCAATGTAGCACGCATTCAAATTGTTTTTGCCGCCTCGACTCGCATCTTTTTCGAGGTATTCATTCAACCATATTGACGGGTGCAGGGTGTGAGAGTGCCTGGTGAACAACGGCCTGTGTAACTTGCAACACCCTCCTTGCCTATTGTTGTGCGTCATCGAAGCATGATTGGCTTGCTAGATCGCGTACGTGCGCTCGAGACGGACATACCCTGCCGAGGCATCTGTAAATTTTCTGTTGTCCAAGTCTATATTCCGTAAAAAGGTATCTCGCTACCTTGCTCAACAGTCATATTTTCAGCCGGCATTCACTGTCGCTGCTCACGAGGGACTCGTCCATCATCGTTTGTTACGTTCGACGATCGCAATTCTCATTGCTTATCGCACGCACCCTTTCGAAGTTCAAGCCCCATGTGATGCAATCGTTCCGCCCGTGATCTCTGCTCCTCTCAAATTCTGGCTAGGCATGCGAAGCTTCGTGTACTACATAAGTCAGAACTTGTCTGCGCAAGCTTATGGACGGCCTGTTTGACCCCCATCCCTGGCCCGACTTGCCTGGTAGTCGACATTGGACTCGATAGTCTCATTGGAAGCGGAACTGTGTCCTTTGGTCATGCTGGAGATGTCAAGAGTCGGTGCGAGTACTACAAAGTCCCAGCACAATACTCTGCCTTGTCTGTACCTAACCCATTTCACCCGCCACGGGGTTTGAAAAGCTGTTGGCTGGCGGCTGAGATAGAGCGGCGGCAAATGCCAACGGCGAGGCTGGCCGAGGAGTATATTAAATAGGTAGAGACTGGGTGAACGAAGTTGCACCACTGTGGCGAGATTCCCAGCCAACCAAGAGAAGATCGCAGCACGGTCAGCGTCTCAATCATTCCAGTTGCAGTGGAGCGCTTGGACCACCCTGTTGCTGACGGATATCCCCCCCCCACCCTCTCCTCTATGGCCTGATGGCTGTGGCGCCCCGGGAGGGGGGAGGGACTGATCAAAGGAGTCACATTGGAGGGAGACCATGCAGTAACACAGAATGCTATTTGTGTATTGCTCTTACGTGCACTATTCCCTTCGCATGTCTCATCCTCCTCCATCCGTTGTCATAGTCATTTTCTCCACGTGCACCAGCTGCTGAAGCTCAAGGTCGACTCGAGTGTGTGTCTCCGTTGACGACGATAGCGGGCATCGTTGAACGCACGGGTGTGTGGGGTACACCTCTCCGTCTGAAATCAAGTCACACAACATGTCGCAGGCCATCGAGCCAGAGACGACCCAGGCACGGCCTGGCGTCCCCCGGGCGACCTTCGTGGACGCTTTCCCTAGCACCCCCGGCACGCCTTCGGCGCTCACTGGCCATGTCTTCCCGACCATCAACAAGATCCGCAAGAACCTGCAGGGCGGAGGCACTGGCGAACCCCTCAAGAAGCTTATGGTCGCAAACAGAGGTGTGAGTGTTACCAAGCTGCGCGCGATAAGCCCGTCCAGCCGTCTTTCTTCAGAAGAAACGGATGCGAGGCCTGACCCACGCGCGGTTACCCCATCTTCGGCGTACAGGAGATCGCCATTCGTGTTTTCAGAACGGCGCACGAGTTGGCCATGACGACGGTCGCGGTTTACTCGTTTGAGGACCGCATGTCTGCTCATCGCTACAAGGCCGACGAGGCATACCAAGTCGGAGCTGGTCTCGCCCCCGTCTCGGCGTACCTTGCGCAGGACGACATCATCCGCATCGCGCTCGAGCACGGCGTCGATATGATCCACCCTGGCTACGGCTTCCTGTCGGAGAACCACGAGTTTGCGCGCAAGGTGGAGGCCGCTGGCATCGCTTTCATCGGACCCAGGCCAGAGACGATCGACGGACTCGGCGATAAGACCAAGGCACGCGACCTCGCTCGCAAGGCAGGTGTGCCCATCGTGCCAGGTACGCCCGGCCCGATTGAAAGCTTCGAGGAGGCTCGTGACTTTTTGAAGGAGACCGGCTTCCCTGTCATCATCAAGGCGGCCATGGGAGGAGGAGGAAGGGGTATGCGTGTCGTGCGCAAGGAGGAAGATTTCCAGGACGCGTTCGAGCGCGCCAAGTCCGAGGCCAAGTCGGCTTTCGGCGACCCTACCGTCTTCATCGAGCGCTTCCTCGACCGACCGCGTCACATCGAAGTGCAGCTGCTGGCCGACGGAGAGGGCAACTGTGTCCACCTATTCGAGCGTGACTGCTCCGTCCAGCGTCGCCACCAGAAGGTGGTCGAAGTTGCGCCTGCGAGCAACCTGAAGGATGAAGTGCGCCAGGCAATCCTCAGCGACGCCGTCAAGCTCGCGAAGACGGCCAACTACCGCAACGCCGGCACGGCGGAGTTCCTCGTCGACCAGCAGAACAGGTACTACTTTATCGAGATTAACCCGCGTCTTCAGGTCGAGCACACCATCACCGAGGAGATCACTGGCATTGACATTGTTGGCGCGCAGATCCAGATCGCCGCTGGCGCCACGCTCGAGGACCTAGGCTTGACACAGCAGACAATCCAGAAGCGCGGCTCGGCCATCCAGTGCCGCATCACAACCGAGGACCCCGCAGCCAACTTCCAGCCCGACACGGGTAGGATCGAGGTGTACCGCTCCGCCGGCGGCAACGGCGTGCGCCTCGATGCGAGCAGCGGCTTTGCAGGCGCGCAGATCACGCCACACTACGACTCGCTGCTCGTTAAGGTTACCTGCCGGGGAGCTACGTACGAGGTGACGCGTCGCAAGATGCTGCGTGCACTCGTCGAGTTCCGCATCCGTGGCGTCAAGACGAACATTCCCTTCCTGTTCCGCCTGCTGACGCATGAGGCGTTCGCCAGCGCCAGCACGTGGACAACGATGATCGACGATACGCCTGAGCTGTTCAACCTGGTGCAGAGCCAAAACCGAGCGCAGAAGCTTCTTGCATACCTGGGTGACATGGCGGTCAACGGCAGCCAGATCAAGGGCCAGATGGGCGAGCCGGGCCTCAAGAAGGAGATTGAGATTCCGAAGCTGTTCGACCTGGAGGACCCGGCCAAGGTGCTTGATACGACGCTTCCATGTACAGAGGGATGGCGCAGCATCATCGTCAATGAGGGCCCCGAGGCATTCGCCAAGGCTGTGCGTGCGTACAAGGGTACGCTGATCATGGATACCACTTGGCGCGATGCGCACCAGTCGCTCTTCGCGACTCGTCTGCGCACCGTCGACATGGTCAACATTGCCAAGGAGACCTCGTACGCGCTCAAGAACGCCTTCTCGCTCGAGTGCTGGGGCGGCGCTACGTTCGATGTCGCCATGCGGTTCCTGTACGAGGACCCGTGGGAGCGCTTGCGCAAGCTCCGCAAGCTCGTGCCCAACATTCCCTTCCAAGCGCTCGTGCGTGGTGCCAATGCCGTCGGATACACGTCGTACCCCGACAACGCCATCTACGAGTTCAGCAAGAAGGCAGTAGAGAATGGCCTGGACATTTTCCGTGTCTTTGACTCGCTCAATGACCTCGGCTCCCTCAGACTCGGCATCGACGCGGCCAAGAAGGCAGGCGGTGTCGCCGAGGGAACCATCTGCTACACCGGCGATGTGGCCAACCCGAAGAAGCACCCCAAGTACACGCTCGAGTACTACATGAACCTCGTTGACGAGCTGGTCAAATTTGGCATCCACATCCTCGGCATCAAGGACATGGCGGGCCTTCTCAAGCCTGCTGCAGCCAAGCTGCTCATCGGCTCGATCCGCAAAAAGTACCCGGACCTCGTCATCCACGTGCACTCGCACGACACCGCCGGCATCGCGCTCTCGTCAATGCTCGCCGCCGCCGAGGCTGGCGCGGACGTCGTCGACGTCGCGATCGACAGCATGTCCGGTCTAACATCGCAGCCATCGATGGGCGCGCTGGTCTCTGCGCTTGAGCAAACTGGCCTCGGCCCCGGCATCCGTCACGAGGACATCCAGCAGATCAACCTGTACTGGACGCAGGTGCGGCAGCTGTACAAGTGCTTCGAGGCGGAGGTCAAGGCGAGCGACTCGTCCGTCTTTGATCACGAGATGCCTGGTGGACAGTACACCAACCTCATGTTTCAATCCATGCAGCTCGGCCTCGGCTCGCAGTGGAGCGAGATCAAGAAAGCGTACATTGTGGCCAATAAGCTGTGCGGTGACATTGTCAAGGTCACGCCATCCTCCAAAGTCGTCGGCGACTTTGCACAGTTCCTCACCGCCAACAAGTTGACCGCCAAGGACGTGGAGGAGAAGGCGGACAAGCTGGACTTCCCTTCGAGCGTTATCGAGTACTTCCAAGGCTACCTTGGCACGCCTCCCGGCGGCTTCCCCGAGCCGCTTCGCACAAAGATCCTCCGTGGCAAGCCCAAGGTGCAAGGCCGCGCAGGCGAGACGATGGAGCCGCTTGACTTCCTCAAGATCAAGAAGGACCTTACCAAAAAGTATGGTAAGACCATCACGTCGACTGATGCACTGAGCTACGCCATGTACCCCAAAGTGTTCGAGGAGTACCAAGACTTTTTGCAAAAGTACGGCGATCTCAGCAACCTACCCACGCGCTACTTCCTCGGCAAAGCACCCATTGGCGAGGAGGTGCATGCGTACATTGAGCGCGGCAAACTGCTCATAGTCAAGCTGCTCGCCGTCGGCGCGCTCAACCAGGAGAAAGGCACGCGTGAATGCTACTTTGAGCTCAACAGCGAGCCGCGCTCAATCGAGGTCGAGGACCAGAGCGCCGCTGTCGAGACGGTGCACCGCGAGCGCGCGTCGGGTGACCCCGGTTCAGTCGGCAGCCCGCTTGCGGGTGTGGTCATTGAGATTCGCGCTCAGGAGGGCCACGACGTCAAGGCAGGCGGTAAGTGGCTTTCGTGTGTGCGTATTGGTATCGTATGTCAAGCTGACGCGTCTCCTTAATTTTCCTTGCAACAGATCCCCTCTTTGTCATGTCGGCTATGAAGATGGAGACGGTTGTCAGCAGCCCAGTGTCCGGCAAGATCAAGCGGGTGACTGTGCAGCAGAACGACAGCGTCTCACAGGGCGACCTCTTGTGCGAGGTCACTCATTGAGCCAATGTTTTGTAGGAAGGAGCAGCAGCAGCAACAGAAGAGACTGGCCAGGGAACGAAGAAATAGGATCCGTGCGTTAGATGCATTAGCGTAATTCTTGTAAATGATCAAGTCCAATACATGGATAGCTATCCCTCCCCTCCCCCTCTTTTGGCCCCCTAGGTGAGCTGACGTGTATGCGGCACGGAGCTTCCATCATTCGGCCCCCATTCGTCGACTTTGGCCTCGACTATACGTATTTAAAGACACGCACATACATATCATACTTTCCACGGTTCTTGCTTGGAGCGGATGGGACGGAGGACTATATACGAGAGAGACAAGCCCCGACCAGGCACGCTGTGGGCGAAGGTTGGTCGTGTCTGGTTTTTCTCGCTTTCAATTGGAGAAGCATGGAGCCGCCGCACGAGTCTTGTGATAAGATAATGAGTGACTGGATTTTGAGGGTTTGGCGCAAGCCCCGTATATCCGTGCGAGGGTTAAGTTTGCGCCAGAAGTTTGTTGCCTCGTACCATAACAAGGGCTTCCACTCCGTTCTGCTCCACCTGTCCAAGTACGAAGCACCAACTTGGCATAAGTTGCTTCACATCTTCTTCACTACTGCCCATCCTTCCTGAGTTCAACTGTACGGTATATAAGCAGATTTGTTCAACATTGTACACCGTGGGGGCGGAGCCCAGGGTCCTCAGCTCAATCTCGGTCATCATTCGAGGCACCAAATCTTACGCACTCAACAATGAATACACACTTCCTTAGTGCATGTTGATTGCTTGCCTCTTCGTATGTCGGACGATGAGCAAGGACCGTATCATAATAAATAGGACTCGGCGAGCAACTATGCGCCAACATGCTGCTCTACAGAGTTTTCAACACGATTCAAAAAATAGTACAAGGCACAAGATTGCAACAACAGATCGACAAAGAAGAGTACGCTTCCGCTTCCTCGATGAGCGAGCTGAGCGCCTACCGCGCCGTAATGAAAACAAAAAGCAGGATACTATCATAGCGCAGTCTGAATCTCTCAAGATACTACCAGAAGGGCCTGCACCTGTTAAATGCTGGGGAAAAATCGGACAGTCTCGAAGGAATCCTGAAGGAGCTTGGCAACGAGAAAGCTGCGCAACTTTCCTCTGTTGAAGTCTCGCTGATTAGCTTTATACAGCTGCAAGGTGCCAATCAAACGACGACCATCGAAAGTTAGAAGACGCTGATGAACAGGAAAACAATGCTAATCAATTTGGTGAAGCAGCAGCAAGAGCATGAACAAGCGCACGCACGGTGTCAACCAGACCTCCCCAGATTCTCGAGGAGTTCTATCATGCTCGCAGAGACGGGACGGCGAGCTCTCGATGGGCACACGGCAAGTGCGCAACCTTGAAGATGATCTAGACAATTCCCTATAGTTGCACCTACTGACACTCCCGAGCATGTCTTTACGAGATGGTTTGAGGAAATTAGCTAGGTGAATGGCTTGCACCTGTTGCGCAAAGGGCTGCATGCATCGTTCGTCGAATATCTATCCTATCGTTCGTCCAACCTTCGACCAGACATCGCTTATTTCGGTCGCAAAGCCCAGCACTTTGTGCTATCGCAAAGCATGGCTTGGCGGCGATTTCATAAACTCTTGGAGTCAAGTACTTCTTGTTGAAGTACTTTTGTCATCGATACGCAATGGCACGGTGGGTCAGAGCCCTCAGCATATTCATAATAAACACCATCCAATTTCTTCTAGAAGACGACACCCCAAAAAATTGGGAGATTGCGAATATGGTGAGCAGACCAGTGTGTTGGACTCATATGTCACCGTGGATCACTTTGGGGCAGGTAGATAGGGACCTCCAGAAACCAGAGCGCCAGTAGCATAGTGAGCAGGTGCGAAACACTTTCTGAACAGAGCGTGCAGTGAATTCGTTGGGGACTATATACGTTGAGGGCATGCGATGAGAGACGCGTGACTTCTACTTTGCGATGTTAAAAGGGTGATGTACGCCCACAATGTATGCTGCGCATGTCAAACAAAAATGCTGATTGATGGAAATTGAACCCCTTCTGTGTTTGATACGCTCGCCGCTGCGGCCGAAAACTTCGACGACCACTTTTGGTGACGACTGATGGTCGGCTGATAACATAATACGCCATCGTCGGCGCACGAAACCTGGTGTGTCGCTGACCTTCAGCCCCTCACCGACACATGGCATGACGGATCGACTAACACCAGGATTTCATAGGATCGAGGAAGACCGACTCACAATAACTCACCGTTGCGCGGACTGAACTCCCGAATGGAAAGACAGGTTTGAAAAGTATATGAATGATACTAATCCCCAATACGCATCTTTGGACAAGCATATCCTCTACCGCTGAACCCAGGCTCAAAGTCTTCAAAGGTGATGGTGTATGTGACGCTCAGTTATGTCTGAAAGGGCTAGGGCTATCGATCATTTTTTTTCGCTGTATGACTAAAAACAATTTGCCACATCGAGCGCGGAAGTGATGGGAATACCCCATTCCCATCAACGAAGAGCTTACTGGTCACTATGGGCGTTAGACTTCGTCAATCAAATGACCAACAATGGTGATCCTGTACACGGCACCTCCCCTGAGAAGAAGTTGGAAACGGCGGAGACGGTGCGAGGATTGGTAGGGGGCCATTGAGTGTAAAGCGAGAAAGTGTCACTAATCGAATGGTCAAGATGGACGTTGAAACTTGCGCATGGTTGTCCAAGACAACTTGGTATACAGAATTGATGGGTGATCATCATGGCCATGATGGAGGAATTGTGTTATAGGAAAGCATAGGGTGATGAGAAGGGTCAACTCCTGTGGTCCTTCAAGCCGGATGACCGTGGATTGGATGGGGCTCAGATTCCTGCTGCGGATTAAAGACTTGTCAAAATAACTAGCACACGTGTTTATCATTGCGAATCATTTGCAAGCATGCAGACTTGGAGAAAGCAGAGAAGTGACAGCTGTCGCGCCTTGAAAGGCAGTAAGTAGGCATCTCTGGCCTCCTTGGGAGTACCAGGTTCACAAGAAGCGTTATCCGCGCTTAAAGTGCGAGTGTGACCTGCCCCGCAAACCCAAGGAGGACATCCGCATTTGCACATGCTGTAGGCGATAGATGCAATGCACGAGAGGAGCATGGATTGGATGGACAAGGATGAAGAAGGTCAACTTCTATGCAAGTTGATGCTTCGTACTTTGAAACGCGGAGCGGAACGGGCTCAAAACCCTTGTCCAGGCACGAAGCAGCAACAACATATGATAGATACCCTCGTGCGAGAGTAGAGTTGTGTTGGCTCCCCAACTCAACCACAATTGAATTGGCATCAATGATTCGAATCAGCGAATCCAACCACCCCGATCCAATGCCTCGCACTGCAACAAAAGCGCACACGCACACGCATTGGCTGTGTGCGGAGTGTACCTTTTCCTGTCTGCAGCTTGTGTCCAGATTGCTGGGGGTCTACAATATGTAGAAGGCGAGCTGATGAAAGGCACTGCCCTGCACTGCCCTCGGGCGGCTGACTGCCCACCACGCAGCCTCTCCCGTAGCAACGTGGCAACGGAGAAGACATAAGGCCATTCGCCTGTAGGAGCAAACCCGTCAAAGCACAAGAAATGGGTCGATGCTTTGATGACGGCGGAGAGAGATTGAAGGCTTCTCCGTTCGTCAGCCATCAGCCCATGTTTGCACCACATCGTACCCAGCCAATGAGGGTAGAGTTTCTGCCTTGGCTTTCAGCGCCGCACTCAACCCAGGACGAGAGTCAACAACGGAGCGAGAGCCCGCGTTTAATGTTTACATAGGAGACGTACTTATAAGGCCAACACCTTATCTCGCAAATGCATTGAGATCCTCTCTTTGCTGCCTTGTTCACCAGTCCTCCTCGTCGCTCTTCCATTCCATCTTTCCGCAACGCCCTATCTCCTCAGCCTCCAGACTCATCAAGATGTTCGGCACCGCTCTCCGCACCTTCACAGCCCGCTCGACACTGCGTGCGCCGCCACCCTCAGGCAGCATCCTCACATCAGTGTCCATCTCGAACGTAAAGCCGTCTCCGACGATTGCGCGGCCGAAGCGTGTAGCGATGATGCCGCTATCTTCGGCCTTCATCCAGGAGCATCACAGCGGCGGAGAGCGCAGCATGGCCTCCGATGAGCCCCAGCTTCCAAGTAGCTCGGCCGACGCAAGCCCGCTGCCCGAAGGACTCACGGCCGGCAGCCTGAGCGCGACGGGCAAGGTCAGCAAGTTCTACGATTGAGCTCTTTCGTTTGTCGTGTTTGTGAGTGCGTGCCGACTGTCTCCTGCCTACTGTTCATCCTTCTGGGCCCAAGCTCATCGAAACTGCTACCGCTTCATACAGTGCATGCAGTCCACCTCTCCCCTCACGACTTTCGCATCACGCAAATTCCGCCTTGACGATTCGAGCACAGCGCTTACGGTATACATCGACTCTTTTTTGTTTCTTACGCAATCCGCAGCAACAGCAGCAAACCCCCCTCTACGGCGTCCATGCTTGAGCAGCACACGTCAAGCCTCGCATATGAATCCACACATACATACTCAATAATAGAAGAACGCAACACTTCACCACCGCCGGCCGCTCCCGTCCGCGGTGAGATAGAATCGCATCCAATTTGGGCCTCTTTTGTACTCTCTTCCGCTGTCCATGCATCGTACTCTGTTGATCAACCGTAACATTTGCGCTTGGGTCTCAACAGCGGCTTGGGAGGGACATCGGGAGATGCCGTGCCTGTGCGAACTGCACGATCGGACTTGATGACACAGGTCACGAGCGGACTTCATGCCAGGGGTCACGGATTACGCACAAGGAGTACCTCCTTAGAAAGCATGATCTAAAAATAACAGTCCATGGCCACGAGCAGCGCAGCAATGGAGCCAGCCGCGGCAGCCACAAGGCTCTTTCGGATCACTGTGGGCGCCGAGTTGTCTGCGCCGGCACTGGCGCTGGGTTTTGCGCTGGATGTGCGCGTTCCGAGCGTGTTCGTCACGGTCGTTGCTGCAGTGATGCGTGTCCTGTGGCACGGCGGGCATGGATGAGGTGTTGCACAGTCCACATCAGTTGCGAAGCATGGCAGCGCCCTTTTTTCCCACGCGCGACGATGCCCCACTCACCCGCCAGTGAAGAAGGTGCTGGTGCTGCCGGACACGACCTGGTAGTTCGCACAGTAGCCCTGCGCACCGAACCCATCGTCGAAGCCACAGCTAGCGCCGGCTGCGACCGTGTCCCCTGCTGTTGCTGCTAGTGTGCGCTGCACGGAGATGATCTGCGCCGCGCGCGAATCCTCGAGCAGCACGGCGGTTGCAGCTGCGGAAAGGGCGGATGGGGGCGCCTCAGAGACATCAAGGTATGTGCATACTCGCTTTTACCTGTACCGCTCACTTTGACTGGCAGCATTGGTGTACAGCACCTTGTACACCGTCGTGCCATTGTTGCCCGTGTTCCAGTAGCTGACACTCGCTATGCGACCGTCGGCACCAAGGCTGGGCACGAACAGCGTCGCGGTCACGGTGCGAGCAGCACCTGCGGAACTCGTAACGTTTGGCGCCGCCATCGCGCTGGCACTTACGTCAGCCTGCCGCTTTGGGACTGTAAAAGGCAGGGGGCAGTTCGTGCGACGTTGGACGCCCTCTGAAGGAAGAAAACCTGAGGCTAAGTTACTTTACTCACGATATGCAAGGTACTGCGGCCCAACGGCGGCGGCAGCAGCAGTTTCAGAGGCGAGATCAAGCAAGTTGCAGAGTGCGAGAAGCTGCAGCAAGTTTGTTGATGTGAGAAGCAGGCTCATCATGGTGAGTACGCTGAGCATCGTGAGGGCAGAGATCTCTCGCGGTGTGCACGAAGGGGAGACGAGCAGGCGTAGGTGAGGAGAGAGAGTAATGGAAAAAGAAGGCAAGGATCAATTGTACCTGTCGTGCGCTTTTCCTGCGCGCTCATGCTCCTAAGGACGATCAGAACCCCCCATCGTTTCTTCCTTCATCGCTGCAAGTCATCCAAACCCACAAGGCCAAGGGTTTGGTAGCATCGATTTTGGAGGTTATTTGTAACGAGAAGAACACAATTTATTTTTCAAAACAAAGGCCGTGTTGGGTAGAGCTTTTCGTTTGCTATTTGTCGCTTTGTTGCAGTCGCAAGCGGTCCTGGATCTGCTTTGGTCTACTCGCTTTGTGAATCCAGAGGTGCGCAACGATACGAGGCGCTGCGCCACGCTGTACACTGGTCAGCGGCCAGCCGTCGGCAGTCAGCAGGGTCCTTGCCAGCTCTGGCGCGTCTGCCTAGGTTTGCCGTACGGGTTATGCTCCGATGCAATTGACAGGGGCATGCTGCACGATTCACGATGTATAAGGAAGCGGAACGCAAGTGCGGCGGCTTCGCGCCGAGCTCGTGAGGTGGGAGGCGCGGATCGCCATTGTGCTGTGCAATTGACATCTCGCTGTGAATGAGAGAAACCAGCATCAGCGGCCAGCATCTTCGACAACTGTACCTCTTCTGCCAAGTCCTCTCATACACACGAAGCTGGCTGTACGCGCCACATACATACACATCCTTTCCCTTTGAGTCAGGGCCCATCGTGAGTCGAGACGCAAGAAGAAATGTCGCAACGCAGAGGCGTCCACCCACACCCACACCACATATGCTTGGAGATGTCACCTCTTCAGCTTCGCCTTCGACACAAGTGTCTGTCCACACGCTGCTCCAGCTGAAGGGTACCTGGTGTACCTTCAGCTGTTTGCCGTGGCGTGCTGTGTCTGTCGTCCGTCGCTGCCGGTCGGCCTTCGGTCACGACCGACGACACCGCCGCCCGCCCCGGCATCGCACGGCAGACTGCGCGCACATGCTGGAGATGCAGTGTCGAGGGGGGGGCGGAAGAGGGTGCAGGGACATGCATGTATGTTTGCACAGGGGAAACAGGGAGTCCCACGTGGAGAAGAGGAGGGAGAGAACACAACCCTAGAGCTGAGGAAATCAACTGGCCGTGTGACAGTAATAGTGACAGCCATCTGCATGCAGGCCAGCCTGTTTGCATTTGCTGCTGCTGCCCAGTGTCCCTCGGCCCTCGGCCTTTCAGTACCGAATTCAGCCCGCGTGGCTTATTTTTTCTTTCCTTGTTGTTCGGCAGACTATCGGCAGTAAGGGGGGAAAGTGGGAAGCGGGTTGGCGGGATGAGGCATCAGCGCAGTCAAACGCAAGTGGTTAGGTTATCTCCATTTCCCGTTTGTCATAACTCAAGCTCATCAACCGTCTCATCCTTTTTGGATTTGGACGCTTGACGTTCATCCCACCCCTGTTGTTCAAAGGCAGACACACTGCGGGGGAGAGCGGACCGCGGCCCAGCATGGGTGCGATGAGCTGAGCGAATGCGCTCTCGAGGCCCAACACCATCACCACCGCTTTACAACCCTACCCGCTGCGCACACGCCGCCAGCCGCGCTGATTCGCCACGTCCTTGCCCCCACAAGCTCACAGGGCTAGCGAGGCAGAGCAAACCCACCGCTTCAAGAGCACACGAGACCCGGCGGGCCGCGGGCTTTTGTTTGCTCTGCTTGTCGCTCGCGCCCCTTGAAGCCAAGGCCAGAAGCAGGCTTGCCTTTGCGCTCGATCGCCGCTTGGGTCAGACTGTTCGAACTTGCTCGAATCTTCATTCATCAGAATCCCTGCCAACGACCAGCCGAGTGATCGCCAGTCGCTCGCGTCGCCGCACCACCTTCCGATCTTTTCGATTCGATCGACCGGGGAGCGTCACGCAGAGGCGACTCGAAAGCAGGGCCAACATCCACTATATAACAAGGCAAGTCTGTGCAGCGGCTCTGACGCTCACCGCACTGGCCACAGCCAGGCAGTTCATCACACTCCTCGCCTGCGACAACCCGTTGGCAACGTCCCCCACCCCACTGCAAACATAGCATCATGCTAGCAACACCGGCAGAGGGTTCAAGCCGACGCCGGTGCCGCCGGACCTCCTGCGTGGATCCATCCTCATCTTCCTTGTCCCCCTCGCCCTCATCCTCCTCCCGGTTGGGGAGAAAGAGGCGGCGACGGCTCCTGGCGAACAGCGCTGCCTGTGATCGTATCGCGAATGTGGCAACTGTAAGAACACCATGCGAAAGTGCATGCAAAGGCACGTCTCGCACTGGCGCCACGAGGCGGCGCGCTATCTCGCCTGCAGCAGCAGCGATGGCCACCGCTCTGTTGGTAGCCAGTGCGCTTGTCCAGCCTGCACACGCCGTCTCGTCCAGCCTGTACCATGTGGACTGCCAGACTGTGAACTGGTGAGTGGCCGATGGATTGCTTCATCGCTTTTCAGCCGTTCTTTCAAGCACGGACTCAAGGCGTGTGTTTGCCTTGACCGGACACATGCAGGACCATCATAATTGACCAGTATGATGCGCCATTCGATATCATCGAGCTCTACGTCGGCAACCCGCCCTATCTGGACGGGTCCCTGAACCCCGCTCCCCCTGTCGTCAAGGGCAAGAACGGCAAGAGCAAGAAGGTTGACAAGGACGACGAAGATTCGTACGGCTTTGCAACCAACTTTACCGCCAGCCAGCTCGGCCTGCCTTCCAGCGGACCTTTCTTCATCAAGGACTTTGACCTGGACTACGGTCGCACGCTCAAGCTCGACGCGATGCAGCCGGTCGGCTTCAGGCTGTACGATACGAACGACCCCGCGTCCAATGTGACCAGCTCCGGTGGCTCCAGCGTCGGCGGCTGTGCGGTGCTAGCGGCTAATGGCTACGCCATTTCCGAGGTGCGCGGCAACGAGATCATGCACGACTTCTCCATGTGCAAACATGTCGGCCTACCCTTCAGCGTCAGCAACAACACCATCGACTACGGCGGCATCAGCGACAGCGACGGCTCCTCCGGTGCCGCCAGCAGCATCAACGGCGGCAGGGGCGGCCTCAGCGCCGTCCTGTCCAGCCTGACCATGACTGCCACCGCGACCGTGACGGACACAACAGGTGCGACAGCGGCAGCGCAGACGAAAGGCGGCTCAGAGCGCCTGGCGGGGCCGAACAGCGGCGCTGGCACCGACAACAACGACGGCAGCGGACCGGGCAAGGCCGCAACGATCGGCACAGCGCTCGGCAGCGCCCTCGGGGCGCTGCTCGTCGCGCGCGCGGTGTACGTCGCGTACAAGCGCTACACGCGCTCGGAGCGCTACCGCCGCCGCAAGCGCGCCGCGATCCTGTGGGAGCAGGCCAGCGAAGGCGCCGGCCGCAGCTCGACGTCGTCCGACGCGCTCGAGCGCTACTGCGACGACCCCGCCAGCTCCGTGGCGCCCTCGCCCATTTCTTCCGCATCGTCATCGTCAGCAGGAGCGGCCCGGCCCGGCTTCTCCGGCAGCAGAAGCAGTGGCAGCGGTGGCAATGGCAATGGCAGTCGCTGCAGGTCTGTCGTCATGCTGCAGCTCGACACATCCCCCGCGGCGCTCACGCCCGCCATGACGCGCGGTAGACTCGAGCGGCCGCCGCCACGCACCGCGCTATCCTCCGCGTCCGTGTCATCTGCAGCAGGCGCAGCGCCGCCTTTGATGCCTTACTCGCCGCTGACACTGGACGAGCAGCGCGAGCTCGGCCTACTCTCCGGCGGCTACGGCAGCGGCAGCGCGAGTGCGACGGAGCGCTGGCCGGATAACGAGCACGAGCTCAATCTTCACGAGCTCGCCATGTCCGGCCCGCCGCCCGAGTATGCCGCGTCAGTCCGCTCGACAGAAGTCGTCCTGTCCTCGCCGGTGCAGTGGACTACTGCTCCGCCACCACCACCGCAGCAGCAGCACGGCATCCAAGCTTCTCCCATCAGCCCGTCTTCAGCCGTCGCGCCGCTCGAGCGGACGTTCCTGACTGCTGCGTACAACTCGCCCTTCACGTGGCAAGGCCCGAATCCATTTGCCCGCCATGCTCCTCTTCCTCCAATACCGCAGGCGGCGGCATCATCGTCGCGCAAGGCGGCAGCGAACGTCGAGACGAGCGAAGCCATGCTGTCACCATTTAGCGACCGAGCAGCAGCAGAAGCAGCGACGGATGACGCCCCGAGTGCGAGTGCTGCTACAAATGACGCTGATGACGATGCTGATGCGAGCTCATCCGAAGGACGCAGTGCGCACAATCGCACGCCCAGTGTCGCGGGCACGACGCGCCTCTTTCTTGAAGCGATCGTCAACGAGGACAACGAGTCGGACTTTTGGACGCCTACCGCCGAGGACTAGAGGACAGAGGAGTGACGAAATGGGGAAAGGATACAGCAGTAGCACGGTACTGTCATGTCGTGCTGCTGCTGGTGATGCATTTCTGGTAAATGCGTCTGCAGCAGAGTGACGGGCCTTTATTATAGCCTAGATGTACAAAAGTCAAGTAACTTGACCTAGCCCTCTCCCCATTCTGCGACTCTCCGATGGCGTATCTCGGCGCTATGCGGTATCCTCATCTCAGCTTCCTGCTTCTAAATGCGGGTGCCCTCGGCTCATCAACCGTGCAGCTGATGCTTGGACCAGTCCATCTTCTGCTTGAGCACACCCTCGAGTATCAGCTCGGGCTCCCAGACACGAACCTTGCTGCCATCGACGCAGCGGTCAGTCATGATGGCCGACCAGATCTTCTTGTCCTCCTTAACCGAGATCAGATGGCTCGTCTTCGGGTTCGGCAGGAGGAAATCGACGTTGATCGAGCCCCTGTCCGGCGCCTCGCCGCCAGCGGAGATGACAATGTTGCGCAGCACGCTGACGGCCGGCTTGGTGTTGCGGGTAAAGTAGAAGGTGTGCCCATGCAGCAGCCCGTGCGGGTTCTCGCGGCTGGCCTTCAGCGCGTTCGCCAGCACCATGCCGCGGCTCTTCTCTCCTTCCTTGTCCTTGAGAATGTACTTCTCCGGGTCTTGGTGTGTTGTGTCGACATAGTCAGCGAACGCAGCGGCGAAGACGGAGAACATCGGTCAATGTGCTTCCTGCCACGCTCCATGCTGCGGCCTGCACAAATTCAGAACTCACCTTGCTCCTGGCCTGACCGGGCGCTATCGAGAACCCACTCCTCGTTGACGACGGGCAGGCCGCGCGCAATGGCACAGAGCATCTTCTCCGTGCGCTGCAGCTGGCTCGCGACGAGCAGCTCGACCTTGCCCGTCATGCCGTCGGTCTTGGTCCAGCCGAAACGCGCGAGCGACTTGACGTCTGTCGCACTCAGGTCCACGCCCGTCGTCGTGTAGAAGCGCACCGGACCGGACGTATTGCCGCTAGACTCAACACCGGATGCGCGCGCTCGTTTCTTAGCTGGTGGATCACTCGCAGCGAGAGCATCTTCGGAAGCACCGGCGGTGGAAGACGCTTCGGAAAGGTGTCCGCGTTTCTTGGGAGCGGAAGCCGGCAGCCTGTCATGCTCCATCTCATTCATCACATCCTCGTTGTCTTTGTCCGCATCGCGTTCACTGAACCTGCTGCCATCGACTTCATCCTCATCCTGATCCCGGTCTTGCACATTCTTCGCCGCCCCTCGACCGCGCGCCACCGGTTTGGCAGACTTCGCAGCGGGGGCTTCCGCTGCGGCCGAGGCGCGCCCACGCGACTTGGGGCCGCCGGCTGCTGACCGGCGCGGCTTGGGCGCAGCTGCGACAATCTCCGCTGCGAGCCGATCGTCCTGCTCATCGTCGTCGCTCTCTGCGTGTGCAGATCTCCGCTCCCTCGTCGCCTTCGCGGGCACCTTCTTGAGAGATGCCGTCCTGGCGCCTCCGCGCTGCTTCGTCCTGGATGGCGAGCGGACCGGCTCTGCCTCTGCTCCGTCTTCCTCCTCTTCCTCCCCATCCCCTTCGCCAGGGTACGTTTTCTTGTTAACTGTTTCCGCATCGCCGTTCTCAAACGCCTCGGGCTGCCCGACCGCAATGCATACTTCGCCGGCACTAACATTCATCCCGTCAGCGCCTTGCCCCGCAGCTGCAGGTGTGCGCGCATATGCCTCGGCGGCCTCGGCGGCGGCGTCGACGATCTCCTGGACATTGTAGAGGTCTGGCTGCTGTGCGCGTAGCGAGCGTCCGCGGCGGCGCGTGTACTCCTCGGCCTGAACGGCCCAGGGCCGGAGGAGATCGGTGTCGAGCCTGGCCCCGCCGACGAGCTTCTGCATGTTCACGCCAGGTGAATAGTCGACGTATGTGGCATCACCGTGTGGCACGTCCTGCCAGCGCGCAAAGCAGTCCTCCAGCCAGAGGTGGTTGACAATGGGGATGTTCCACTCGGCTGCTTTAAGCACCTTGTCGCCCGAAAGCGTCGCGCTGACGCAGTGCGTGTTCTTGATCGACATTTCCGGTGTCCACCTGGCGCCCATGGCGTTGAGCAGCAGCTTGAGGTATGCCCGATTCTCGCCCGTGTAGTTAGAGATGGTGATGACCTTCTCGGCGGCGATTAGTGACACGTATCTGTAAGCTCGCTGCATGTGCACCTGTCTCCGCCCTCCTCCACTCACATGCTTGTCAAAGCCGCGGATCGGCTTGCTCGGCGGCGGGAAGTGCAGCAGACTGTCCAGGGGGCTCACCAGGCGGCCACTCGTCATCACCGACCAGAGCCAGGCGAGCGACGCGAGCTGCTTGCCGTGGTAGAATGCCTGCCAAGAGCCGAGAGGAGTGTCAGCTGCCGTCCCGCTGGCGCCCTGCGGCGATGCGGTTAAATGAGGAGAGTGACTCACGTAGTATGCAGCGGGTAAGTCGCGGTACTGCGCGACGACGACATCGGCGTTCCTTACGGCCTGCTCGATGCTGCGATCGTCGCTTGGCGGCGGGATCCAGACGCCGCCGTGCTCGTGAACCTTGTACGACAGCAGGTCCAGCGCGCGGCCGGACAGCTTCTCGCGAGGGTTCTTGGCGTACAGCACGCGCTTGCCTTGCAGGACATGCTTGTGCTTGTACAGTCGCGCAGAGGCGCTGCCGGGTTTGCGCTGCGACGGCATTGCGGACGTGCTGCTGCCGCCGCCGTCTGCTGCTGCTGCTTGATCTGGAGAGTCTTCCTTGAAGAGGTTGTTGGCGCTGTAGATGCTGGCGATGACATCCATGAACGGCGACC